TTTGGTTGCAATAAAGTATAGTTTCATAACATTTTCATTCAGCGTTAATAGAAGGTGGAAGGTTTGTAGATGATTTGGTTCTACATTTTTTTTATTCTGGTATACTTTGAAAGTCGATGCTCAAACTTAAGTTTAGAATCTTTCCACTTATTTTTTCAAGTTTATAATAGTGGTATGGTGTACAATTCTGATCGCTTGTGTAATTTTTTTATTTTGTGGTTTGTTTTGTTGACTTTTTCCTCAACAGCAAGACTGGGGTGATAAACATGAATACAGTGAACGTTTTATTGTTTTAACCTGTGTGGGAGACATGAGATATGGGAGATATAAGTGAGCTAGGAGAATTCATCAGTTATGATGATTTGCTAATATTCCGTAGAATATATAGGCTACCTTCGAATCGCATACACCCTACGTGGGCTAATATACTGACCCTGTTTGCTAAAATTTCGAGAAAACCCCAAAACTCTTATAACCTTGTCCGACCTCAATGTCTACAAAATGGAAAAAAATCTTGCTCACATTCTTGATAACTAATAGATTCCAATAACCAAGTATCATACTGTCAATATATTCACCTATGCAGTACTGTTGAGGCAACATTTAATAATTGATTGAATTTGGACTATAATTTGACTGTTGTTTGGTAAATGAGGGATTAGTTCAGCTCCTAATGCGCGCAACTCTGGACCCTTTGTTGGGCAATTTAGCATTTGACTTTAACTATAACCAATATGGCGATATCTTTTTTTATTAAATATTTTTCTTTAGTGTTCACTCTTGTATACAAAATTTACATTCAATTTGTTAAACGTTATGAAATTATTAATATGGTGGAGGCATAAAAATATTTTTTCTATGTAATTTATCTAAAATTCCTCGTTTTTTTTCTTTTGTTTTTCTCTCCTAATTAATCAGTTTTTAATTATATGTTTTTATTAATAATTTTATCGCCTGTTATGCTGAGTCCGTTGGCTGAGTCGGAATAAACCTAAACGGACCTGCAATTGGCAGCGACCTAATGCCACGCTTGGGGTGTCACGCCTTCAATTTGACCGTTGGTTGTCATAGCTCATACATAGTCGCTCGCTCTATTAGTCTTCGGCGTGGGCTGTTTTCAGTTTTTACGGAAGAATTTAGGTAATTTGCATGTCTGTTTCCATGCTAATATAAAATAAATAAACCTTTTATGAAATGTGATTTATGTGACAACAATTTGACAGCAGACAATTCGGCGGTACCGGAATGGCTCATCGTGTTACAGTGCGTTAGGAGTACGCTCGCCACTGCACCTCTGTATAGGTATGTTACAAAAAAATTAAAGTTCATCCGATTAAAATAAAACTGCACCAGTGGATAGATCTAAGTGAAAATAAGAAAACAATACCAGGTTTGCGAAAAACGGTCAAGAATTAACGGAGATATCGGCATTTAAGTACCGCCCGATAGGCCAATTTTTTCCATAAGGATTGTATTGTGCCGACTCAAAAACTGTGACCGCGAGAATGTCAGACCGATAAACAACAGAATGTATCTCGGCTATTTTTGAAGGTAATCGAAAAAAATTAGTAACGAAAAGTTATTGTGAATAGAAGAACCTAATGCAAAAAAGTTTACAAATTCTTTTTAACGATATTAGCTGCTTTCCAATTAATTATGTACGAGAAAGTTTCTGAACTTTACATAACCTCTGGTCGTCAACGACTTTCCCACTACGCAAGTCCCCGCCTACGCGGCAATTAACTGATTTAGAGTTTTTGATATCCAATCTTAATGAACGATTAATTATCATTTAATATTCCTCAACTCGTAAGATATTTACCGCGCTTAGTGAAACGCTAAACGAGAGAAATCGCTGCGAGGGAAAATGTCGGCATTCAGTCGATAACTGATGCGCGTTGACAGACGCGTGCAAAGATCATACTTCTCGTGCCTTGAATTAATTTGTACCGTTTCGTAAACGTATGCGAATTGGCTTTTTTAATAAGAACTTTAATGAATATGAAAAAAAAAAAATATCAATCTTCAATCTTTCGATGTGCGTCACATCTAAGAAAATTGAGATTATTTTAGGATTTCATTGGCAACGATCATTGAAGCCGTCGGAAGATCGTCGCAAATTAACCCTGGAGTTGAGCATATTAGTTTGACAGTGCCTCGTTGCGGGTAATAATTAACGATGTTCTGATTGAACAAACTTCATAAAAATTGGTAAGTATCAAGTTAGGAATGACATACATGCGTCCATATATATTTTATTGGTGTCCATAGACAATATCATTAATTTGCAGTACGTATAACTTTAGCGTAATTTTTAAAAGCCCCGAATGTTGGGAAATTTATGCGCTAATGAAAAAACTCAAATAACGAATCATAGTTGCGCATTTTATCTAAGTTATGTCAAAATTTCATGGAATTCCAAACAACAGCAGGCAGTCCGTAGTCGTTTTTATGAGCGGTATTCTGACACGGCGTTACGGTACTTAGCAGACGTGGTGCGTACATTTTTTGGCGCGAAAAAGCGCGTTTTGTAACATTCCTACTCTGTATGGGTTCAGGGATTGAAAACATTAATATTTTGACGCTATACGGTACTCTCTTTGGCACTTGATATGCCTATTTAGTTGACAGTTGAGTGAATTTTATTTTAACTGAAGAATCGTTTTCCCTGTCAAACAGACTTTTTTTTAAAAAAAAAACATGAAATTCCACATATTTTTGTTTGACGTTAATATAAGGAGTTATGCCGCTTATGCGCTTAACCTCATACAGTTATATAGTTTTGTCAGTCTGTAGCTGTTTAACAGACTTTATCGGGTCTAGTATAGTTTAGTACCTCTAGTACTTCCAGTGAGCGTAGCATAACAAATTTTGCATATGTTATTCTTAACTAGGGGTGGGCAAAATCGAATATTTTTTTCGAAACGAATAATTCGAATATCTCTAACGAATACCGAATAGTCGAATAACAAATATTTTTTATACACAACAGGAGGTCCAGATCGTCGGTTGATACTCCCTTTGGAAATTAATGAAGACATTGAAAAATCGGCTAAAATGTTTTTTTTACTGGTTAATTTCTTTATAATCGCTGATTGTTTTTGTCACCGTGACCGTATTTGCGGCGATTTGCGGCCTTCTGTTTTTTGCAAGTATTAATTTTTTCCGTTCGGCGGACATCGAAATTTATATTTCGCATTCACGTCGACAACAGCTGTTAAAACCATTAAGGATTGATTTCAAAACCCCATTTTATTGTAATTTTTATCATTTGCGTTGGCTTTCATATTACTTATCAACGTTTGTAAATTCACCGTCACAATATTAAGCGAACGGTAATATTATTATCGATACCGGGATGCAGATATTTATTAAGACAATACCATAATTAACTTTGCTATGCTTTTCTATGGTGTCTATGTTACTTTACAGATAAATCTCGCGAAGCTGCGATTGCGTCAATCCCGAATGTTGATTTAAAATAGTGACTAAATAATTCGGCAATTAAGGCATTTCTGTGTGGCCATATGGCGAGATGACGTTAAAAACAGCGCTTCTTGAATAATAATTTACATATGCGACCTAATGCTGAAAAAAATTGCGCTTTTGTACTTTTGTGCCTAATAGATGGCCAGGCACTAATTATAACTAACTTTTTCAAGTTCCGACAATTTCTTTCAACAAACCGCGATCATTATAGCTAATATCAGTACCGAGTAATTCACAATTTCATTTATGGAATTTGCAAATTCACTTTGACTTTTCTTGAGGATTTTAATAATGTCACGCCCTATTTATTAGTGCAAAAATGCACAAAATATAACGAATGTAATCATTTCCTATATTACAACAATTCGTAAACGAGATGGTGCGCGTTGTTACATCGAAATTCACGATTGATTTTACGTTATACACCTACCTGTTCACGATTTGTCCAATCCATCTGCCATGCATGCCCGAGTAAAATGTTTACAATTTCGAAACATTACTTGTTCATGAAGGCAAGGAATCACTAAAGAATTATTTGAAAGTACATTAAAAGAACTATTACCTGCCATTTCTTTTCTGGTCATAGCTTGTTCGTGTTATACTTGCGAAAGTTATTTCAACTTTTAATTTTCGTTAAACAAATTTATGTTTGGTTCATGCATGAAACTTCTAATCACGTGCCGCCAATCATACGGAGTTCGAAATATGGGATATTTATTTTAAATACAGCATCTGATTTGACGTTTCTAAATTTAGAGTACCTTTTTTGCAAAATAGGGAATTGAAATGAATGATTGAAACGCAAACAAAACAAATAACACCACAACGCAGAGACGATTTTTCAAATTTGTCGCTTTTGTCTGTTAGCGAGCTTTGTAGGTGAATTCTCGCGCAATTTACGATCGGTTCAGAGACGTTCTGTGTCCAAGTGAAGCGGCGCAGATCACGTGGTACCCGATATTCGAATAGTAAAATGCCATTCGAATAATTTAATATTCGATTCGCTATTCGTTATTTGAATATTTGGCCCATCCCTATTCCTAACCCCCACCTGGCTATGCCATCCAAAAATTATGTCACTACGATGTCACCATCGCGTCATAGGGCTTGCCAAAGTACAATCACGATCGCCCGAAATGGCATCTGCGCCACCGATAACGAACTCGCTAAAGCCGGCGATCTTTCTCCTGTGGTGATCGTTGTGACGAAAAAACGAGAGACGTAGCTTGCCCGATTTCGTTGGATTGTCTGCGCATTTTGGACGACCATCCGCATACTTTGGTGGGCCTTACTACGCCACTGTGGCGTTCAAATGACGTAATCTTTCGGTGTCGTAGTCAGGTAGGGGTTAGGATTGACATATGCAAAAATTGTTGAGCCAGGCCAACTAGAAGTACATGTGGTACCAAACTATACCAGACTTACTTTATCCTGGTCCACAAACAAGTAGCCTACATTTAAAAAAAAAACTGATGTACACTCAGAATACATTTTTCTGATAAATGTTTTGCTTTTTTTCTACATTTAATATTGAATAATAACACCTAAATAAATTTACGTACAATTTTCTAATACGAAATGGATTCTACACTAATATGACATGGATTCTTGGAAACATGGACTCAATGCGGATGACTTGTTAAAACTCGTTTATTGTAATTTTGAATGCTCTGGATAAATTTTCAACTGCTTCACTGACTAAAAAATGAGCTGTTGCTCCCAATCTTGTCTATTCCGAATATAATTTTAAGAAAAATTTATTGTTCTTTTTTGACAATTTTTACTTTTTGGTGAATTATTTTCATCAGTACTATCATTATGGCAACAACTACGAAGCTGCAAGAAGTGCGCGAGGTAACTAGAATAGAAAGAATCGGTGCTCATTCTCATATTCGTGGACTCGGATTGAATGATGATTTGGAAGCCAAACATGTGTCACAAGGAATGGTTGGACAGCTTGCTGCTAGACGTGCAGCTGGTGTTATTTTGGAGATGATAAAAGAGGGAAAAATTGCAGGTAGAGCTGTATTAATAGCAGGTCATCCAGGAACAGGGAAAACTGCCATTGCAATGGGTATGGCACAGGCACTCGGTAAAGACACACCTTTTACTGCAATTGCTGGTAGTGAAATATTTTCATTGGAAATGAGCAAAACAGAGGCGTTGACTCAAGCATTCAGGAAATCAATTGGAGTTCGCATAAAAGAAGAAACTGAAATGATTGAAGGTGAAGTTGTTGAAGTTAGTGTCGAGCGACCTGCGACTGGAACTGGAGCAAAAGTTGGTAAGCTGACTTTGAAAACGACAGACATGGAAACAGTGTATGATTTAGGTCAGAAGATGATTGAACAATTAACGAAAGAAAAAATTCAATCTGGGGATATAATCACCATTGATAAAGCCAGCGGAAAAATTACCAAACTTGGCCGATCATTTACCCGAGCAAGAGATTATGATGCATTGGATGCGCAGACTAGATTTGTTCAATGCCCAGAAGGGGAATTGCAAAAACGAAAAGAAGTTGTTCACACTGTATCATTACATGAAATCGATGTTATAAATAGCAGAACACAAGGATTCCTTGCTCTGTTTTCTGGTGACACTGGTGAAATTAAAAGTGAAGTCAGGGAACAAATTAATTCCAAAGTAGCAGAATGGAGGGAAGAAGGAAAAGCAGAAATCATTCCTGGTGTTTTGTTTGTTGATGAAGTCCATATGTTGGACATCGAATGTTTTTCTTATCTCAATCGTGCTCTAGAAAGTGACATGTCACCTATTTTCATTATGGCAACCAATCGTGGCATTACAAGGATCCGTGGCACCAATTATCAAAGTCCTCATGGACTTCCAATTGATCTATTAGATCGTCTTCTAATTATTTCTACATCACCATACACAGAAAAAGAAACAAAACAAATTTTGCAAATCAGATGTGAAGAAGAAGATGTTGAAATGGAGGAACAAGCTCTGTCTGTTTTAACAAGAATTGGAATGGAGACATCCCTTCGTTATGCCATTCAACTCATCACAGCATCTAGTTTAGTATGTAGGAAGAGGAAGGGAACGGAAGTTTCAGTGAACGACATTAAACGTGTGTACTCACTCTTTATTGATGAATCACGCTCTACTACATTTTTGAAAGAATTCCAGCAAGAATTTATGTTCAATGAATTATCTGCATCTGGGGATGCACCTGTTATGGAGACATCTTGATAACTTATTGAGACTGAGCTATAGCCTTGTAGTAAATTTTAATAACAAGCAAGCTTGTTTATAGTAAAGCACTATACTTCTTGCTTGTGTTTGTATTTTACTTAACGAGACATAGCTAGTTGTCTTTGGTGCAAGCTATCACAGTAAAAAGTTGCACAAACATTTGTTCTGTTTCATTAAATATTTCAACTAGTCATTAGTTTTAAATTTGTGTTGGTCAGAGCAATGTATTATTCATTCAAATTGCTTGGTCATTATTAACTCAGTACATACCATAAGTAAAATTTATGTGGTACAGTTTTTTTCTATTGCTGTTATCTCTGATAAATTTGATAGAAACATTGTTTTGATGATTTGCCTTTGTTTTTAGTGCCACTGTTAGTTTTGTATAAAATGTGTGTTAGCTTGCATTGGAATTTTCATTTTTTTTTAGATCTTTAACAATCGAAAAAATCAGTAAAAGAAACATTTTTTAATAATAGTTGAATCCATTTGTTGAAACCATGGAATATACCTGATTGTGGATTTTATATAAGAACAAGGATATATTTTCTCATCACAGCGGAAGCTTTGGCATGGCTGAAAATCGTGAGAAACGAGGTAATGAGAGTGATAAATTCTTGTTGCATTTACTGTATAATACACTAGCATTGCTAATAATTTAATTATTAGTTACGGTCTGCTTATTCAAAGACAATTTTGCAGGCAATAAATGAAATTATGGTTGGAAGGAACATACCACACACACAATGTATTTTAGTGTTTACCTTCTGTGATCATTGAGATGCAAGCATGTTTGAACGCATACTTCAAAATTTTGTTTTATGCTTTGATTTTATCTATTCTATTTTTAAACTCCGTAATGATATATGGATGATGCATTGTTATTACCCTAATACTAATTATAGCTAATACTAAGAAAAATGTAACTTTTTAACATTATGTGGAATAAACGGGACTCCCGTAGTATGTGCCCCAAGATGAACACTGGAACGTAGTATGTGTACCAGGTTAGGGTTAGGCCATAATTTCAGGTGCAAATACTACCCAAACTCGTAATAAATCTAAAATAAGAAAAATTGAAATAAAATTATGGCCTAACCCTAACTTGGAACACATACTACGTTCTGGTGTTCGCCATCTTGGTCCGCATACTACGGGAGTACTCACCCCCCCATAAACTCACCCATGGCAATTTAATGATAAATAAGTTTGGGCCATATTCATTGTAAAATACATATATGTCTACATTTATAATACTCACAAGTATTTTATCGTTGCCTGTTGTAATCATGCTTTCTTGTATCGACTTTTGAATTGTAAACATTGGCTTATTTAAGTATCTCCAATCTGAATGGTTGAACGAATTTGCATTTGTTTGTTTATTTTGTGATAAGTTGAGTCTTCTTTCACTTTTAGAAGCGACAGGAAGTCAGGATGCAACTAAAAGAATGGCAAAAAAACTGAGGACTGCTAAACAAAAACTCACAGAATCTTTCAAATCAGCAGCTCTGAAGGAGTTTTATCGGGAAAAGTACAAGAATAATAGAAGAATAAACAAAAGTATGTGCTATATACCTTTTTTGTATAGGGCTACTTGAGAAAAATATAATAGAAACCAGATTTATCTAGTTCTGAAACTTCTCCAAAATTTTATACCTGCCTATCTGTAACTGTAATTTATCTCAGACTCTAAGCTATTAGTATGTTTATTCTAATTCAGATCTATACATTGTAAAGTCTTTCGCAATATTTTATTGCTTTGTAAAGTCTCAGTGCTGTGTTAATAATTTATTTGTGGCAATTTATACGTAGGTGTGCTGGTTTTAAGAGTTGAGTAACCATAGTCTTCCCACTTATGTCTATATTAATATATTGAATTATTCTAGAAGAAGATGATTTAGATATATTGAATTTTTGTGGCATGATACATTAATAAGTCATTTGATAGTTTTTTGATAGATTGATTTGATAGATATTTTTTCGTTAATGTTTGCCATTCGAATAGTCATATTGAGATAGAGCTAAGGCATTAATATGAATTCAGCTTATGAGAGAAGTAGTGCTCTTTTCAATTTGTTCATAATTATTTGAGTCTGCAGTTGTAAATTGTTGGTAGTTTTTGTGTTGAGAATTTGATATTGTTAGAAGAAGATATGATCAGGATATTAGAATTATAATATTATTCTGTCTATTTGTGTATGTATCTGTTCATATATTATATATAAGCCAGATCTCAAATTTCACTATTTATCAAATATAATAGGGTGATTAGTGATTACACACTCCAGTCTAGTCTGTCAATTATAACTACCATTAGTAAATCTTTTTTAAATTACTTTTATTTTTATTCATTTGTACAGGGAATTTTTTGTATCGTAAGGGCTTATTTAGGTTTGCTTATCAACTAGGTAAACATTGAATAATATGTTTAATTTTAATAAAAGGAAGGAGAGCATTCCTGCTTTGGTATTATCAACAGTAAAAGGTAAACATAATGTTAATTATAAATACTACATGTGTATTTATTAGTTTTGACATTGCCAAGCAAGTTTGACATTGCCAAGCAAGAATTATAATATCCATGATCACTGTCTAAAATTATTAAAATTCATCAGGTTATGAAAGAAATCACAAATTACACAGAAGACACAGTCCAGCCGCTTCCAGCCTTGAAGATTTGTTTCGACCTGGATCTGATGATGGCAGTTTTGATGGAAATAAGGTTGGTGTATAAAGAGTGTTTAGTATTGAATTTTTGAATTGAAAGCTATGCGTATAGATAATGAAGACATAACTGAAAAAGCAGAGATGCCAAAACTACCTCACTATAAACCTGTCTATAACTCTCTGATTATACCCTTTAGAGTGAAGATTTGTCAGATTGGTAACAGGCCTTAAAATGCTGATTGAGGTTAGCTATATTGTATCGGATAATGATGATTACTTTCCTGTCATACAAATATGAGATAGAAACATATTGCTTGAAAATTCATTTAGTATTTATATTTAACCTAAATGAGATTTAACCTTGAGCAGAAATATACTCAAAATAATGTATTTGTTCCCAACGTATTTTATACACTAAACCAGGGATGTGCAACATTTTTTTTGTCATTAGGCCATATTATAACCAACTTCAGACGTCCAGCTGGGCCACACAAAAAACATAAACTGTCGGATTAGGATTTTATGCTTGATGGGAAAAAATCTTGAGTGTTGACAAGCGCCACACTAAATGGCTTGGCGGGTCGGTTCGTGGCGCGCGTAGGTCGAATGCCTGTTGCACAACCCTGCACTAAACCAATGTCAAAGACATTGGGAAGGGACATTGATATGAGATAGCAGGAGAGGTGAAAACTATACTGCTTGTTTAAAGCCAATTGTCTAAAATGTCTAATAAATCCACTCATTACAAAAATATAATTGTTTTGATGGTTTTTATGTTAACTTTAATATGTTTATATATCTGATTTACATGATATCAAAATGGTTCAAATTAGTAACAACTTGTTTGTATAGTCTGTATAATCATGTAGAAAATATTGATTATTCATTTTGTGATGCTATTATTGTACATCTGTAAATACACACAGCACAGTTATTATGTTATTATCATATTTACAATGCATTATTGCATTATTAAAGCATTCCCAATTTTTTATTTGCATGTCTGGTAACTAATGATATTTTAAGTCATTATCTCAATTATCTATGATTAGGACAGTTCATTCTCTGTTTCAATTATGTAGGTGGAATGTTGTCTTTCTGGAAAATCTTTATTGTTCCCTTTTTCATCATAACTCGCTGCTTGATAGTATCAGGGACAGCTCATAGTCGAGTGTGAGAATCCTTCATGAAATGAATTGAATCCATGAATTGAAATGAATTCAAATTTAATTTACTCATTCAAGTTACTTTGGAATAGTAAATTTTTCATTCCAGGCCTTCCCTGGCCTGGTTATTATTTTTTTTTATTGTATTTGAGAATATTGTCGCTTATGATTGAATGCTTTAGTATGGGTATTGTGGATTTACACTAATCCATCTTCATTTTCTTATTGATAAATTATGTGTGATCTAAAAACCTAAGTGACCTCAGTTCTCATATTGTATTACAAACATCTAAATCCATATTCGTTATTGCAACCAGGACTTTTGGTAAATAATAAAGTCATCCATCGTGTAATATCTATTGCACATTTATTGTACCGATAATTTTGAACAGTAATCTGCCTACAAAACAAGCCAAGTAGAATGATTGACACTGCTATATGGGAGAGGTCTATTTGCATTAATTTTTTATGAACCTCTCGTTCAAAGCAAAACAAACAACTCTCCCAGCAGATTTGATTTCAAATGACCCAAGACACCAGTATGTTATTCAATATTTTTTTTTCGACCGAGGTAGCTTCATCATCTGAACAATATTGTTTATTGTGTATACCTAATATGTATGCAAATTTCTTGATTACAGTAATTCATGATCTAAATTTGAACACATTTAGATTGCAATGATTTAACTTTAGCAGATAGTGTGTTGTGTAGATTTATCTTATCAATTCTGTTCAATTTTAGTCGGTCAATTTACGAAAGAATACTTACATATGTTGTGGCTTGTATTGTACGTAGTGCAATATAACCTATGTAGTGACAACTTGATCATTTATTCTAGATTTGATTATAATTCGGTACGAATTTCTAATAAACTATTTTTGGATATCTTCGCCATTTTTCATTGGAATCATTATTCATTTCATGGTATCTCAAATTTTACCCTGAAGTTTTACAATTATTATGATTTTTCTTCCAATTGGTTTTAATTTGATGATGAGAACCAAAAATTGATTTTTTTTTTCTGAAACAATGAATATTTGGATATGGTTCTCCCCACAGTAAATTGATTGGTGCCTTCTTAGGGTATATCAAAATTTATCTCAATTTCTAAACTGCATAAATTATTTTATTTTTGCCAATGATTTAAAATATGTATTTAAAGCGTTAACATACAAATGCAGCTCTCGACGTATTATGTAACCAAAAATATGACAGCTATAAATAACTGCACTAATATTTTTTTTTGTGTAATCGCTTCACCAACTTTAAAGTTCGAGAATCGTGCGTATGCATCATACTATTGATGTCAGGAATAAATTTGTGTGTGGTTGCATTATCGATGAGTCATCACATATATAATTTTGATGACGTAACACGCATTGTGTGTGTGTGTGTGAAGTAACTCATTTCTCTACCTTATTCATATCTTAGATATTATTACCTAATGTGTGGTTATCAATACCCAATAAAGCACACCTTGCCAAAAAATTTAGTATTCAAATCGTGTAATCTTGATTGTTATGCAAGATTTAAAGTTAAGTCTTATAATTTTGCCGAGTATGATATTTTTGCTTTCCATTTTATATTAGAAATAATCAATTTTGTAGTGGGATTAATTAACTTTAAATTACACAGAGCTTGCTTGTTCAGATTTCCAAGTTCAAGTAATTGTTAAGGATATCCATATTATGTTTGCTGGCAAATAATTTTGCCTTGGGATTGATGATGGCAAATAGTTTAGATAAGATCCTTCAGTAGATCTGATTTTTTTTTGAGGGAACCAATGGTTGTGATTTTAGGTTTCACTTTTTTTTGATTCATTGCATAACTTCATTCCACTGTTTTTGTACCGATATTGAGGAACAGCAGCAGCCAGATGTTACCGAAAGAAGGGGGCTGTCTGCAATATTCTGAATTTTACTTTGTAAACTTAAACAGGAAACATGACTTTACTCTCAAAATGGTAAATTCCTTAGTAAATTCCCTATGTAATAGGCATTTATGGGTAGTTTTAAGAATCAGTCTCATGTTTTTTCATAAACAAAATATTATATATTGATTTTTTTGCTATGATTTAATTACAATATTGATTTTTTAAATGTCTTAACTGCGCCTGATACACCACCTGCCAAAATGTAATTGAGCAGATGGAAGCCCGATTCCCAAAGGAACGTTATTGGCTTAAAATTTTGAACACCTTGATTGAGTGGTTTTAGATTACCGTAACTGTTTCACCAGTACCACACTTGCTTTAAAAGAATTTTTTGTCTTGGCTATTTTGCCAATAATAGGTAACAAAATCACCAGTAAAAATAGGACAATGATGAAGATTTAGAAAATGTATTATGCCAACTATAATAGTCAATAATATTCACAAACTATTCATTTTCTACTTTTATATTTTGGATGACTGGCTGTTATAGATTCGTTGAGCGCGAACAAAGACGTTTATCATTACCTTTCTATGTTGATGTGTGATGTAAAAAGTTTTTTTTAATGATGTCAAAGTCAACAATACATGATTGATTCTCGCTATGTTTTACTGTTAAAAATATTTATATAAATGTATAAATAAAAGAGAAATGGAGAACTATTTGGACACAGAAGTTGATACCTACCATTATCAGTAGGCCACCACCCTTTAATTTTGAGTATTTCTCGATCATGGCTGAAACTTTATCATTGGCTGTCATGATTTTTTTTTGAAATAAGGTAAATTTGAGGGGGTACAATGGGCAGATTTTAAATATGTAGTTTTAATAGGTGACACTTTAATTTTTAATTACCTGCCAAAATTAACGGCAATTATTAGACACCATCAGTTTTGGACAAATAAAATAAAGTGGACTGATATTTCAAAAAACTAACAGCTTCAGAGCATGAGCCCATTCCTCTGTAATAGGTTTTAATTTGTCTCAAGCATTTGCATATTCGCTAGTTTACTATACACTATTACAATGTTATAAATAAATACGGTAATGTAAAAAACTGTAGGCGGTTTTCCTATTCATCTTGGTTTCATGTGTGAAGCTGACTCGAATGCTCCATGATTTATAGGTCTGCTGTATATTGTAGAGTAGGAAAACGTGTAGGCGTCAGTTATGATATTATAATAACAGTTATTTAGTCATATTCTTGATACATCGCATAGCTAGTAGGAATAAACTGAAATAATGTAAATTTAAAGGTTCAATAACAGAAAAACAAACTACCGTAACTCAGCATCATCGGCCTGGTATCTGCTACTTGTAAAATAAGTTGTATATGAGTCTATGAAGTGATTGCAATCAGTGTAATTCTCTAATACTGGTCATATTATTGATGCGTCAGGCTTAAAATCATTTCTGACCGGTTTAAATTATTTTCTGAAACCAATAGTTTCATTTCAATTCTCAAACCAAGCAATATCCAATGTATTGTATGACCAATTGAATACATGGATCACATTGCAATCAATATGCATGCTACATCCCAGACTCAAGCTTGGCGAATACATTCAACTGGTGGTTGTAAACGATTAGATTTGAGAAATGTAGCTTCACAAATTTTAACAGGTCAGTCCCAGGGTACAACTTAATTACCCTTTGGAGGAAGTCGTAGGGATACAGTGATGTGTGACTTGAAAAGTTTTTTTCCGGCTTGACCTTATTTGCTTTAATAAATTGCATCAGCATATTGCATTATAGAGGTTTGTCTGGAATACTTGATTAATTAACAATCGTGCTTGGTTCCAATTATATGTGATAATCTATATGGGGAAATCAGGCTTATAAATAATACAAAAATGTAAACTCAAAAGGTCAAACAATAACGATAATTACACAGTTTATCAATAATTTCATATACATTGGAGTTTGAAAATATTTTACATCAAATTTCAATGAAGATATTGAAAGATTTTGTCTACTTTATTACATCAGATCTAGACAGCTACCATGCATTATTACGTCTCAGTTTCGGCCATTTGTTTGGTCATAACATGAGTTACCAACTTCCTTATGAACTATAGACCTTCAGTTTAGTAGACGTCAATCATCAACAACTCATTGTTTCAATATTCAAGCTGTTTAATGCTTAAAATTTTGCCTAATTATTAGTTTTCTAAAATCACAGAAACTAGGAAATTTACTAATTCAACATATTCTTTAAAATAGTATCGATTCTGAACTAAAATACATTTTGGAATAGCTGTATTTTAAAAAAAAATCTGATATTTTTATTTGAATGAGGAACCAATTTTGAAGGGAGAAATTAATAAGGTTATTGTTTCTATCGTTATTATCAGCGACCGAATTTCACATTCATTTTGATCAATTTGATTAATTTAGAGAAGGTCACCATATTAAATCTAGGTCATTTCTTGTATGTTCAGATATCCAATTAGGATTCCTTTTCTGATTTCCATGTGATAGTAAATTTGCCACTGTCTTTAATAAAAAATTTATACTTGCATATTTAGTATTGCCTCCGCGTATTATGCACTTATTTTTATTAAGTACCGGTATTTCACACTTTGTGTGTTAAAAACATCAATTAGTAAACGACTGTTTTTCTGGCAACATTATTCTTTATTATTAGGTACACCAGATTGACCAGAACTAGCTTTACTTTGATTGAAATACCATAGTCATTCTTTACACTTTTGGTTTAGTATAGATTAATAAGCAGTGTTTTCATTTGGTTAGTGTTGTCTGATTGTCTCTATTTTTGGGTTGTTTACTTGGTTTTCCAAACAACTAGAGTTCAAATGAGGTGTCAAATCTTGGCCTGAGGGTAGATAAACTCAGTCAACTACTGTTTGAAATAGAACTTGTGGTTAATGCAAAATTATCAATGATTGTAGATTTCTAGATTTGGATATTTAAACATGATTTTTTATCACATTAATATCCATTTAATTTCAAGAAACTTTTATAAATCAAATTGAAGGAAATATTTATAATACGGATTCGGCAAAATTCAATCAATCACTATTCCTTATATTTTGAAAAAAACATTTTCAATTTGGAATATTGATTGAATATGCACAAAACATTATATATTTTATGGATAATTTGAAATAATGCAGATTTATTTTATTTTCTAATTTGTTCAGTTATAGAAAGAGAAAGTCATCGTATGTTTTAGTCCAATTGTCTAATGCCAATACCTCGATTTTCAAATGAGTACATTGAAAATTTCAAAACACCACGAAGTTGAACATTCAGGGATGTCCAAGACGAATCAATATTTAAAATTATTTACATTTGATGTTTTAGATTTTGTATTTCAGAATAATCTGGGAGGGTTTTAGTTGAAAACTTTTGATTTTGAGGAATTGAAATCTCACATTAGAAAAAATACCTTTATTGATTTAAGCAATTAGAAAATAAACAAACAATAGACTCATTGTTTTTCTGAACTTTTCACACATATTCAATTCGAAAATCATTGAATACACATAAACCTACCCATGTGTTTTTTTTATTTACTATAGGCTAGTCTATATTCCATATTGGAAAATAGTATTTCAGAATGTATTCAGGATAGCAGATTACCTGTTTTTGACCATATCTAATTTGAAAATGTTTTTAAATATCCAATTCATTTGGACATCTCACAATCTGGTATATCAGAAATTTTCATATCATAGTTTTAAGATATTGGATATTCTCAGTCAATATCAATAGACCTATGATCTGACTAATCTGTTTACTCTCAAGATCACCAATGAGCTAACTTCATTGTGTTATTCAGCGTTGAGTCATTTTGGCTTCTTGATCAGATTTTTATACTGATTATACTAGACTGTGCGTGAAATATTTCACATATATTATAATAAATTTATTTGTGAGCCCTTGCGAATAATCTGACTCAATTTTAGTGACACCAGGGCTGAGGAGTTGGAAACCCCGACCAGTGAATCCATCTCTGAACTGCAAGAAAATAAAATTTTGATATAACAAAAACTTTGGCTTATGCAAGTTTTCTGTAATAGGCCGTTGACAATGCTTGGTGAAATTAATACGTTTTGAGCTTTAGTAGGAAGTTTCTGTTAGTAGGAAGACTTATTTTATTACTATTGAAAGTCTAAAATTCCGATTTTAAAAACTATATCTGCTTATAGCAGTGATGAGTAGCTTCCCAAGTGTTGTTACTTATTTTTTATAGTTGATTTTACTTTTATTAATATTTAATTTTTATTTTCTAGCAGGATGATGCAGAACAAAAACTGAAAAACCTTTGCAAAGATGTGAAACTTTCACTTCTTTATTTTGAAGCGATTGTTTTGAAAAATATCACAGAACAGTACGCTGGGTCTGCAACTAAAATATTAGAAACAATAATGGGAATATTTGATCAATTGTCGCATGGAAATTTTTCACCTGAACAAAGGTTATTCGAGTTTATTTTTTAAACATTTTTCTGTTTTTACTTCTCATTTGGAAAACACTTGTGGTTGAGGATACATCAGACTCAATGAATATGGATGAAGGGATTCGAGAAATAAATATCTGAACTTATATCTGTAAAATTCGATTTGTGATTCAACTATGAAGTTGAAATTCGTCTGAAGAAGTCTGATCTCTTCAGATGAAACTTCACAGAATTATAAATACAGATTCATTCAAATCACATTCGCAAAGGTATAAAGGAATGATAGGTAGTAAGTCTCGCGTGACCCCAACTGATAGTGTGAAATTGAAGATGTCTTTAATAAATGATAATCAATTTGTTTTGTATCAAGGTACTTCATAACTTTAATAAATTTTTAATGTGAATTATATTCTGTAGAAATATTTTTACAGTTGAATTATTCGAAATTCTAAATTAGTATTTTCCATGTCATTTGCACAAATCAGTAGTTATTCTCATATAACCTCGGAGTAAGATAATGGGTAAAAATGAGAGATTGTTTTGATCTAGTTTTAATTAATGTGGATAGATATCAGCAGAGCCCATTTTGGTCTCTACTGATTGATCTCAAATTGGGATTAAAAAAATTTATTATAGGCTCATGCATGTAAATAATTTTGGGCACTCCAGAAGTTGGTGTAACCAATATGGAGGTAACTAATTTTGTTTGCCTACTTTACATCAAGTTGTAAAGGGACTGAAACCTATAAGCAGGGGCTATATTCACTTGGCTAACACAGACAGCCCCTGAACTAATAATAGAACTAAAATAAGAAAAATATTCGTTACTTTGCAGCTCTGTGCTAATGTCATGCCGAAGTCGTTTGGTGCAAAGTCTTGCTCAACTCATTCATTGGTCAGATACAACGCTACTTCATACTGCTAAAACACATGAGAAGACGCCAATCAGAGATACAATTCGTAAGTGTTTCCAGAAGTTTTATCATGGATTCAATGTCCGGCTGACCGCTAACATACGAGTATTCTTCTGCATTGTTTTCTGTAATCGAAGTATCATCAAAGTATTTATTATGTTATTTCACAATCTATGTAAAAGTATGGACATTGAACTACGGTATTTTAAATTGGTCTGATGTCATCAAAATCACGAGGAAATACTTCATTGAGGATAAGTTTAGATTTCTCTCAATTTACAGTGTTTTAAATATCTTATTCTAAATTATTCAAACTTCATTTTTTAAATATTACCAGTACAATCATACATTAGGTTTTATAATGCATCTTTCTTGCAATGTAGGTAATTTTTCATTTTGAATTAGGAGATAAAGTTATATTTTTGAAATTCTACAATTAGAATTTACATATTATTGAACTTTGTAATGTTGAGCATCAAATAGGGTGTCGAAGCCCGAGATGGAATCTGGCAATCATCATTTGCTAAATCTTTGTTTTTCTATTCAGAATCTGTTCAAAGCGCTGTTGAAGACCTGGTTGAAGAATCAATTAAGAAAATTCAAACTCAAACAAACAACAGTGCTCCAGTGACTCCAATGAAGGCACTCAAGTAAGAGAATTATTTTGTAGGAGTAGTGTGCAATGGCTGGCCTGGGAAGTTTGATTCTCAGACACAATGCTTTTCTCATTTCTCTGAAAATAATTTGGTGGTAACAGAAATTGTATTTAGTATACTTTTAAAGTATTCAAGAACTTTGACTTGAATTGAAGGAATAAACTATTGTCCTGTTGCTATATATGTTTTCTGAATTCTACTTGTTTAACAAAGTAACTTAGTAGGTAATGTTTATTCAATGAGTTTGAATTTGGAAATGCATAAAAGTGAACATAAACAATGATTTGATTGTTTTGCTTCTCTGTTATAGTTTCCAGAAATTCAATGAAATTCTTGGTCACAGTTCGAGACTTTTTGCTCAAAATTAAAATTTCTCAAATTTTTAGTTATTTTCAAAATCTAGAATTTAAAATATTTGTTTCGTTTTCAACATCCTGGAGTATGAATTATGTATATGCCTTAGTTAGCACGGGCAAACTAGATTCCAATCTTTGTAAATGGTGCCAACCAAGCTAACTCTACTTTTGAGTCTATATTATACAGTAGGCTTAGCTTAAAATTGCTGTATACTCATTACTTACATGCTGCTATCAATTTACCGGATTTCAGCACTATGCTGTCATTTGATCCGGCCTCATACCATGAATGTCTGGCGTTCTTATCTATTGCTAGATTAGTACAAGCATGCTAAGTATGCCTCTTTGTGAAATGTTATACCTTAGGTAGTTCTTAGTCATAAAACCTCATTTTCTTTTATGTTTTTATAAAAGGGTGTACTGTACGCTGGCTAAATTTACCGTAGGTTTTTTTACTTCTGTGAGTTTTGTTTAAGTCTATTAGTTCCTAAATTGGAACTAATAGATTTCTATTTTGATGATGATGTTCATTCTTATAATAAAAGTCTAATTTTGTAAAATTGCAACTGATTGAAATTGAAGCAGAATTCCACTTTGTCCTAATCCATATTTTTCCTTTCGAAAGCCAATGTTTCTATTTTTTACTTTTAACCCTAATTTTATTTTCTTCAACCAAAGTTTTTAGTTTACACTACGTAGAGTCATTTTCGCCGAAACAATACATTTTGAAAACATGTTATTGAACAGTTTTCTTGTTTATCAAACTTGGGAAAAATATTTATTCACAATTACACACTGGTAAGTATGTACATTGATTAAGTTTACTGTTAATACAAACATCATGCTTGATATTTACCTGTTCCAAACAATTTTCTTTCGATACTGGAATTGAGAATGCTGCGTTTGCACTCCATAAATTTATTTTTGTAATGTTCTGACTCATTAGTATTGGTTTGACAGCCTGCATTATGTAATGTTCACTTTTGAGTGTTTATTACAATTTGGAAATAATCCAAGATATTCGATCATGGTATTATATTTATACCCCTATGATTTGTCCTTCACTGATAAGATGGCAGTGACTTTTTGTATTCATTAATCAGTCTTTAAATTGGGATATTGCTCAACATTTCCAGTAAACATTTGGAGCTTATTATGATTATGACTAAAGATGGGAAAACATATTTGATTAATAATATTATTGACTATAAAAATATTCATTTAACCACTGATTAATTAAATCGACAATGATGCATCTGACAGTATGTTTTTGCAATAAAATATTATCATTCCATAAATAAAAATAATTCTTAGCAAGAACAGGTTAATAATGACGAATACTAGATAATGGTATTTTGGATAATTTTCTATATATTCAGTAACATAGATACATAAAGATGTATAGTTTTTAAATTGATTTTCCTGATATATTCGAATAATCACTAGCGCAACAGATGTTTTAAAATATCCGCCTTTATGTTTGTCATAATCTCTTTCCACGAACTAGCCAGTATTTTTGTAAGCTTTCGTTGGAACATAGTCTAACTCAGTGGTTTTCAACCTCTTTGGTTGAGCGAACGGAACCCTAATGGAACACTCCAGAGGCTCGAGAAACCCCTGTGTAAGACTTTAATTGTCTCTTTTATTATCTGAATTGTATTAACTATAAGTATATATGAGTGACAGAAAACCTAATGCTAGCAAAACAAAATAAATTTTAGTAGTGGTGTAACGTTTAATAATAGTGGCAAACGTCGGTATTTGGTTATATTTAAACAATATACATATATTAATATAGACTCGGATTTGAATATAAACTTGCGGAACCCCTAGACTGCACTGACGGAACCCGATTGAAAAGCACTTGTCAACTTCTTCAGACAAAACAAGATATGGCCTATTCAAACAGAAAATCTTGTTTTGTCCAATGAAGTTAGACTATGATCTAAGAAAAGTTCACCAACAAACTGCTGTTAAATACACAATATATTCTTGAAAACACTATATTAAAGTTTATTAGAAAAAAAAATTTTTTTTCAACGTCATAGACATTACAATCAGCAAATTCGTGAATATTATCATATTTTGTCAATGTTCATAACATTCTGATATTAAGCTGTCACAGAGTAAATATAGAAAAAAGCTTTTTGTTGACAAACCGATGCCATCATGGTTTTGACACTCTGGTTTATTTACAAATCACACGCAGTGAACGTCACTCTACAATAAATATCTGGTTACGTCAATATGCAAGCAAGCTTGTTAATAAGGAAACATTACTTCATAACATCACTGTTTTAATAAGACTTGGAGATTGGAAATTTTAAATACAGTAGCTATGAGTAGGTATATCTCATAAAATATGTATAATCAGAAACTGCTAAAATGTTATAATTTTCTGTTCCATTTGTATCATGAAATATTTTTGATTTTTGGGTATTGAACATGTTTTGGATAAGATGATGATTTACCCTAAAATTCTTACTAATCAATATACCTTTAGAGAGACTGATTCCAATATATAACAGCAAAAATGCCAAATATGACATTTTCCTATTGAATTTCCAATTTTTGATTTTTTTTATTAGCTACAAATGGCAGTTTCTTTATGCAATAGTCTTGAATTAATCATTCTATTTCTCATTCATCAAGTTTTCATCACATTTAAATATCCTATTGATCTTGACCATTTCTCATCAATAAATACATTGCATGAAAAATTTATCTACAACTCATGGTTGGTTGTTCTATGTAAAATAGTTCATTTATGCTACAACCATGGCAGAGGTAAAAAAATAATGTCTCAAAGTCATGTTTTATCTGTGGCTTGTGGGTGGCCTTACATGAATGTATTGATATTTTATACATGGAAAATCACTTCGGTGCTTTTATGTCAAAACATTGACAGTAAATTGATTTGTAGGCTTTTTAACTAATGGATAGCAGAAATAGAAAATTACATCACTTTCTAGTTTATTCATTTGTTTTGAACTTGGCAGTGCTGTTAAATTCTGTCAATGTTACAGTTCATTTCATTGAAAATTTGGTTCATAGGGAATCATAGCATACCCAAATTTGGGGATTTTCATAGAATACTAGTGAAATTGAATATATTTTACTGTCTCTAATTAGGCCCTATCTAGTTATTTGTATGAGAAGAATTTGACATGTTAGGGAAAGCTTTATATAAAAAGATGGCAGTATCTTTAATGCCCATGAACTTCTAAAAGACACGTTTATATACAAGTTTATTCCATATTTGGTTTTGATTAAATTTCATGATATTTCCAAATTTCAGCACATACATTATGTTACCTAGTACCTACATATGTGGCAACGTTTCCAACGTTTCTATTTTGATTGGACAAACGAATACTAATATATGGTAATAATGGTATTGTCAAAATTCTTTTAGACCTTCTTTTGATATCGGACATTTACATTGTTTTATACAAGGATTGAATTAAAATATATTAGATATTTCATATTCGAAAATCTTCTCTCAGAATGTATTCAAAATAGTAAAATATTTGGTTATAATATATAGCCTATTCTATTTTTATAAAGATTTTGGTTGTATTTTCATCAAACATTCAATTGATCACCTGAGTTACGAAGCCCATTGCTACACGAAATGTTTCTATTTCACATTACGTCATTACTTGTGACAATTTTCAGTGTTGTATTTCTTCGATTCATGAACTTTCATATAAGAGGTTGAAGTGTTTCCCAGTAGAGACGTGCCCTCAGTGGTTTTAGGGTTTGGTTTCGCAGAATTGTGATTTGAAGTATATTTCTGAATTGTTGCTTTTGAATCGCATTGGACTTCTGGCTTATTAGCCAAATATCATTTTTTAATACATTAAAGAGTTTGTATTTTTCTGTAATTTTGTTCAGTATAACCAGTATAATATTGTTATTCAGGATTTCTTTCCTATAGTCATTTTTAATAATTTAATTCTTATCACAGTGGCCTATTTGACAATAAAAAATTAATTGTAGCAGATTTCACTTAGGTTTTAGGTCACTGGAGAAATGGCAAATTTTTACTTGGAAAAATACCTACCGATATTTGAAGATCAGAATTTTTATAAGAGAAATCTTTTTTTTATATGGCATTATATCAAGTTTCATTAAATCGAATTTTCACATCTCTGATTAGTGCCTGCTTCAATTATGCGAAAATCATGAAATAGTTACAAATTCAAATTCCATTATAGAGATATAAAACATAATTCCATTTAATTACCACCACAAACAAAGCTTTCTAAATGTGAGAAAACACAAAAACTCTAAATTCTCAAGTCTAATGTGTTAGTTACTACTATTTTAGTATGTAGACATCTGTGACGTTTATAACACATCACATGAGATAATAAACCTGTTTTGCCATACTTTGTTAATACATTTTCAACATTCAGTATTTGGTGTAATGTGGCAACTAGTAACGTGATGTGTCACAAAAATTCAAGATTTAATATTTCCATGTTTGTCTAAATCCATACTGAGTCATTTACTGTGTGATATGTCCACATACTTCCTGTTGCATTTTGTCCAAACCTGTAGCTAAATTATAGTTTTTCATGATCAATCAATTGATTTAAACGCTTGGATGAAAATTTGCATATTCAGTGGTAAATGTTCACTAAATCTCTATTTTTGGTTCGTAAAATTATTTGCATAATGATTAGCACAGGTGGGCAGGTTGAATTTTTTCGGACATGAAGTATAGGTATGGATCCATTTGCTAATTTGTTTTGTTGTGGAAAAATCCCCTTTCTCCGCAACGAATGAACAAATCTATTTCAAATTTTCAGTACTTGACATTTGAAGTATTGACTAAAGGGCTATTATGCTTTCGTTTTTTTCAAATTTACTATGACGTACATTATTGAACCAAAAATTTTGTTTTGTCGTATTTTAATTCATGGGAACACTTTTTCGGCATTTAAACTTGGCAATTCGTGAGAAGACTAAACCTTGTTTTTTTGACGTACAGTGCTTGCCATGGCCTTGCTGATACTGACTACGGTAGTGGGACTTTATATTTAATTTAATTATGTTCATTATAAATAATAATGTTATTTTGTATTTAGACCTCCTTGGCCATCTTTAAGTGAGAATCAAAAGGATGAATTCACATCAGCTCCACCTAAACCACCTTTGCCGACTGATCGTAATAATAAAACTCCACCACTGCCTCCAAAATCGAGGAATTCAGGATCAAAACCGGTTGGAATTGTTGCACCTTTCAATATGAACCCTGATGTAAGTCATTGTATTATTTATATCTGATTTTGTATAGTTGATTTTTGCCTCTGTTGATCATCTAGTACAGTGTTCCTCAAACTTTTATGATTTACAATTCATTTAATGAGACTGATGTGCTTGCACAGTCTCGCACAAAAAATCTAATTTTGGCTCTATTTAGGTGAAGGTGAGTCTCAATACTGGTTCCCAATTCAATCAATATTTTGTTTTATTAACATAAGTTAGTGTCAAAAAAGATTTTACCGCAACCCCCATTGGGCCTACCAGTTTGAAGAGCCTTGGTCTAGTACACGTACATATAATTTTTCATAAGCATAATTTTGAGTATTTGGGGTAAGTATAACTGCAGTTTTGCAGTATTTTATGTTGAAAGTTAAGTCTTTTGGCATTGAAAAAATAAATTGGGGCTCATTTTTTATATTGCAAACTCCCTTTTTGAATATATATTAAATATTATGGGTTTTAATTATGAGAAAGATAATATAGTATTAAAAGGGTGCTCCCGAAGTATGCGAACCAAGATGGCGGACATCGGAACGTAACATGGGTAACAGGTTAGGGTTAGGCGATAATTTTTTTCCAATTTTCCTCATTTTAGTCCTATTATCAGTTCGAAGACTAGCTAAGAGCCTCCCGTTGTATTCATACCTAAAATTATGGCCTAACCCTAATCTAGTACACATGTTACATTCCGATGTCCGCCATCTTGGTTCGCATACTTCGGGAGCCCCATTAAAAGTATATAGCTATCATTTTTAATATCTTAATTCTTGATATCTATACATGTTTGCGTAAGTTAACAACAAATATTTCTTAAATTCCTCTCTAAGATATTTTACGAAGATAAAATTGTATAGGTCTGCATCAGATTTCCAAACCACCTAAAAAAGTAGTTAAAAGTTACTCAATTTTTGTCAAAAATTTGTGTGCATATTTCAATTTGCCATGCATAAAATAATCTAACCTAAAAATATCTTATAATTCATGTTTCATTCAGATAAATTTTGCAAATACAAGCAATTCTATTTTCGGAGTAGCAGGCCTCACTCGTTCAGAAGAATCTCTTCTTGAGCAAAACTACAAGTTTGCTCAGGAGACTGACATGAAAAATGGATCATTACATAGAGGTGAACCTGATCGTAGTAGCATGTGCTCAAGTAATTTTGGATCTGACACATTTGGTTAGTATTTTGTATATTTTTTTTTATTTTTTGTGATTGGGATGTTGATGTACTATTATTTTTTCCAATCCCTCTTGGCCTCGCGTTTGTCCGACAGAGCGTGCAGGTTTGTGGGAAAGAATAACTAAATACTGATATCTGCCGGGCACAAGACTTATTACAAACAGGAAAAGGAAAACTGTCGGTAGTAAAATTTACAGACTTCAGAATGTGGAAGGTCGAAACAGCCATGATGAAATCACAAAACTTATTTGAGCCTATAAAAAATACTGAAATTACAAAGACTGGCTTACAAACATATTACATATCGAGCCACTTCAATGAACCTTACGGGATGTGGGTATTGCCTGGGCTAGATCAGCTAGGAAAATAAGATTGCATGGCCCAAATCTATTGTCACGAAGGCCAAAAGGCCTTGAAAAAGTGTTTGCATGGATTCAAATAAAAAGCAAATTTTGGGTGGAATATCAGATTCGATAGGACTTGAAAAAACAGAAAGAAATTAAAGTCTCCTATTAGCCTTCTAGCGACTTATACAACCCCTAAAGACTGAAAATTTAAAATTGAGGGGTTCATTAGCTGACGAGAAAAGTTTTTTTTTACCAACAACAGGTATCAAAACGATCCATATGTTTTTGCAGATGAATGCAACTCAGAAGCAATGTTTGAAGCAGACAGAATCATGCGACGATCATTACCAAAAGAAAAGAAAGTTATATATGACGATGATGGAGATTATGAACAACTTCGTGAAGACAGTACTGTCAATGGAGGAAAATCTCGACCTTTATCAGATCCTAGCGTACTTCTTCCTATAAGGTATGATCTGTCTTCAAGAAATTCAAATCAATTTATAATAAACATCAGGAGGTAATTTAGTCAGTACTGTAATATTTTTCTGATCTGAGTTGAGAAAAAATAAAGTATATGTACATCACATAATATAACGATACTGATATATTTTTGATTGATATATTCCAAAACTGTATTTAAACAAAATGAAAGAAGAATTCTCTAATGTCAAACCCTGTTTTACTGTGTTTACAAACATAATATATGATAGAGGAAAATGTAATGCAGTATAAAACAAATGTTACTTTGACCATTCATTAAATGTGCAATGGAAACCTAGGTTTCTGTAAAAATTTAGTGAATAAATTAATGCTAAAAATTGTGACTACGGATCAAGTAGTTAATAGTAATTTGGTGCTGTAATCTAGCATGGGATGAGCATGTCTGCAATGGTGCAATAATTTGCTAATAACAGTTGGGAGATATAATATTGTGAAATAATAATTCCCTATTGTCCCTCGATTGAGTTACATCTTAAAAATGGGTTTAACAGTCTTTGTTTTTACTTTCGGCTATCGGAAATGTATATCACTCACCTAGGGTCTCGATAATATTTATATAAACTTGCATTTCGCAGTCTTTTCACCCTGTACAAGCAGCCAGCTGAAAAGCTATTTTTCAAAGGACTGGAATTTTCCAGGTTTGGCATTCGGCCTGTCCAATATTTTACACTGTTGATGAGGTGGTGGGCGTGGGATTCGAACCCAAGATTTTTACCCTGCGTTGCCATCATAGTTAAGTCAAACGCTTTAATCACCACATCTTCAATTTTCCTTGAATCCTGTTTTAGTTCACATACGTTTTATTATTAACATTAAATGGATTTTCAACTAGTGCTGTACCTTATATATTATTTCTGATACTCATTATACATTTTTGCCCTGAGTTTCCTAGTCGCATTAAACAGAGTTTCTTATTAATTTGTGCGCTGCATGACATATACCTGTTAGTTTTGCAGTGCATATTATTTGCATGCTTTTTACCTTTCCTCATTCTCATTTCCTAAACAACACAAACGGCAGGTTAAGTCTGGCAGATGAAAATGAAATTATTGGATCAAGAGATGACTGGGCTTCTCTGCTCCAGGGTCGCCGGTTTGTATTATGCTTGCTTGTTTTTAAAATTTTGTTCGTCTGTTTTGTTCAGTGTTTTGTCCTAGGTAGATGTGTAGTTCTCCAGCTATGGTTATAACCTTTTTCAAACGCAAATGACATCTGTAAATGTACCCACCGCTGTGTTGTCAGTCATCCATAATTTACCTATAAATTTTATTAATAACAATTCAAATTGGCGTACTTCGAAGCATCATTTAAAACTAATTGATTTCAAACAAAAGAGCTTCAAAATTCCCCTTCCTAGTTATTTTGTTACTTCAATTTTTCTTCTGAAGAGGTTATGTTAAACAACAGGCATAACGACTTAATAAATCTCAGATTTAGCTTCATAATAGAGCTTCATAATTCATTTAGTGTCTAATCGCATGAAAATGCGGGGGGGGGGATTGTTTCACATTCAAGCATGTTCAAATTTTCACATACACATGATTTTATATATCCGTTTTGAATTATAATCATTCTTCCGAATTGAAAATCTAAAATTTTTAAAATGCCCATACAAAGTATTGTTAAAATCTTTTTCTAGGGCGGCTCTCCGAAGAGCTGCACCTGATGTTGAAAGGGGAATTTTTTATTTACACAGAGCCGTAAAGTCTGAAATATTTCAGTAGGTTATGATAATACAAGTGTTGAAAATTATTCCAACACAATATGTTTCGGTTGTTGCCTGCAGCAGTGACTGTCGCACTATTCGATCTAAAGTCAATCGAATAATGCTTTACATTTTATCTGTCTTTTCTATATTCTTATGAGCAAACGCTAATAAATTTTTTTTGTTAAACTTCAATGTTTCATTTGACGAACCAAGAAATATTTAGCTGAATGCAAGGATGCATTTGGGACGAACTAATTTTTTGAATTAATTTGGAATTAGTAATATTCGATTCTTAGCTTGTGGGTAAACTTCTATTAGTTTTAATAATAGAAATATGCCATTTTTGCCATTTGACAACTGGTGGTGAGATGATAAATAGGACCTTATATGACTTTGGTGGTCAATGAATAAATAAAAGATCAATCAACTCTGCAGTAACGAATCCAAATTTTTTAAATTTCTTTGTTGAATATGGCACAATTTAGATTTTATACCGATATTCCATGTTCAGAATATAATCTGAATGGTAAATTATTCGATTTTGGCCATAGCTGGTTGAATGTTCTTCCATGTGATTTGCGGAATTTAACATATCTTGCATTAAATGGTGTATTATTTGTAATCTTTGTTTTTGTCATTAGTCATTACTCCCATTAGAGGGTTTATTCATAAAAATTCTTTTTTAAATCGTACAATTCATTAAATGTATATTCGCATCGCATGTTACAAAAGCATATTACATTGTTGCATGTCAAAATTATAGTAGTTGTATACTGTGAGCTAATACAGGCAAATATATGAATTTATGAAATTGAAGAAAAAAAAAATTTTTAGAATTAGTTTATCATGACTGCTTTATTCCAGTTTATGAGAAAAATTGGATGATGTAAAATACCAGCAAAATTTAACTTTTCTCTACTTTCAATCTTATTACAATAAATTTTCAATGTAGTGATTCATACTTTAATCTTCTTCAATGAAATTCAACTGAACAGGAGTTGGTCAAATTATAATATGTCTTCCTAAGCAATTGCTTGGTATTTTGCATGGTTAATTTCAATTTCAAAAATTTGAAATTCCTTTGATTTGAAGCAGAATTTATGATATATGGTTTAGTTTAATTTAATATAACATCATAAATCATTTTGTCATTTCTACTAAACATGCTATTATTCAAAAGTTAGCTCTTACTAACTAAATGCTGCAATGGCTTGTCATAAAAAAGTACTCAAGAAGCAGTTATTTTTTAATTGTCATGTTCTTCATCATAGTACTAACATTGGTTACATGGTTAGGGTAGAGTATATTTTTATAACCTGATTGCTTTTTTTAGTGCTTCTGCCAGTGTTCCAGGCTTAGACAATCTATCAAACAGTGAAAATCCTCCTGCTTTGCCGGCCAAACAAAGGTAAAATTAACCTGAAGTATACCTCATTACACTTCGACTGCCTTAAGATTGAATGAAGGCATTTCAAAATGCGTTTTCTTAAGAAAAGGCGTATCCACCAAGGCAGTGGTGGGCAATTACTCTTCTGAGTGGGCCAGTAACAGGTAATAGACTTGGTTACTGGGCCAGAGGCTCATAACTCAATACGAAAAACTATTATTAAAAAACAGTTTATTTACAAAAGCTAGTCCAACAGCTAGGCTGACGTTTATATAACATTAAGAAGCACAATGTCACGACCGGGAGTCATTATGATGTTATTTTCATCAATATTTTCAACGGAAATTTATATTCATAAAAACTACAGTCATGATTTCATCAGACATAAGTGGACCGGGTGAAACGCTTTGTTGGGTTCGATCGGCGTACAGGCCGTAATTTGCCCACCCCTGCAATAATACAATACTTTTTTTTTTGTATTAATAGGCAATCTTTGTTAAATAAACATCTGAGCGATGCAAGCCAATTAAGCATGGGAAGTATTGATTCAATGGAAATGACGTCAAGTTCACAAGATGATGACGATGACAAACCTCCGCCTCTTCCTATGAAACAAAAGACAAGTATGTTGATTTATGTTAGTACTTGAAGAATTACAGTGTGTTCTCGATATAATTTGGTTTTACATTGTGTTATTCATTTTATACGATTCCATTTGTGGACCTGAGGATTTTTGAAGCGAGTCTGGATTTTTCATTAGGTGTACAGTAGGTCCCAAGAAAAATGTATTGCTGGAATTGAACCAAGGTTTGGAAGTTCAACTTGATTAACACTTTTACTGTATTGTTTATATTGAAGAAAAACATTTTTATGATATTAAAAATGTAACCCGCAATAACTTGTTGAAGAAAATTTGATTAACACTTGTGTTCTGTTTTGTGTATGACTGTACTCAAAAAATTTCAGTAAACTACGACGCTTTACTCAAAAGATATTACTAAATGCAACTTAGTAAATTCTTAACAATGAAATATCGCTAAAAGCCATTCCATGTGTTTACAATAATTTTATCGAATAATATATGATATTATCATTTGTTGTATGTTTTCATCTTTCAACAGTTCAAGCATATATGCAAATGTTCTCGGAGGCACAACCTCCTCCGATGGCAGAAATTGCTCGACAAACAGCGAAACGTTATCAATTTCCTGTTATCAATAACAACGGAACTTATGAAGTTACACCGCAGCATGGACCAATGAAAGCATACCAACTACCTTATGATTCACAGGTAACAAAAGAAAAGTCCATAGATACAATAGATTAAGAGAAATTCTTTTTTCACCAAAGTTATACATGTATAAAGGACTTGCCTATAAAATATCATAGTACTCTTATTAAAATATTCAACTCTTTTACCACCAAATTGTCTTATCTAAATATTTTTCTGCCATCTGAATTTTTTTCATTCCTAACATTTAATATAAAATATGGGTGCTCCCGAAGTATGCGAACCAAGATGGCGGACATCGGAACGTAACATGGATAACAGGTTAGGGTTAGGCGATAATTTTTTTCCAATTTTCCTTATTTTAGTCCTATTATCAGTTCGAAGACTAGCCAAGAGCCTCCCGTAGTATTTATACCTAAAATTATGGCCTAACCCTAACCTAGTACACATATTACATTCCGATGTCCGCCATCTTGGTTCGCATACTTCGGGAGCCCCATAATATGGAATGTTAAAATGTCAAAACACTGAAAACAAGATGTCTAGTTAGTACAGAACTAATCAGAGATAACATAACTTTTACAAAACGTGTCTTCGCCAATTTTTTTTTGTGTCTGGTTATTTGAATAATTAAACTAAACATCAATATTGTGATTTATAAATTTTCCTGTTAATCTTGAACAAAAAAGTGCATCAATTCATTTAATAATTAAATCATTAAATAATTAAATAATGACCTCGATAATTTTTTGTAAATTAGAGTAGTTATGGCCTCTGTTTTTCTGATTTTAAATATAATCTAGTTTCTTAAATAAATCAAACTTCCACTCATATACACTTAGATTTGTGTCACTCTTTAAATCGCAATACTTACACTGGCTGTAAGAGTTGTATGTTTTATTTTTTCATCCTAAAATTAGGACATTTTTATTGAAAAAATGTCCTTTATCACTTTGATTTGATTTTATCATTTTATTTTTCATCATCAGTCACAATACAGCAGCAGTTCGATGGGTCGACATCGAGATTCATTAACGTCATTATCATCCATTACATCTGATATATCAACAGCTTCCTTTCCTGGGGTTACTCAAACGCCTCCTGCACTGCCACCCAAAGCCAGGCGGAGCACGGTACTATTTGTTTGTTTTTGTGTTTTGTGATTTTATTTTTAATTATCAGAACTTCAGTTGTTCGTAGCAGTGTTCGGGAGGCTCAAGTTATTCACTTTTGGAGTGATAGTCACCATTTTGACTTGAGTTATCTAAATAGAATGACTAGGACTCGTCATTAATTAACTACCAATGAGACCCAATGCAATGATTGACTCGACCTTTGGGTTCAAAGTGACCCATAACTCAACCTGACTCATGATCCTGGATTTAGGGACCAAATGCTGGTTTTAGCTGAATTATTAACCCCTGTACTTCAAAGGAATGGTATGGAGTGCAGAAAAAACGACCCAAACTGTAATCCAAATTCCTGGCATATTATCTTTCATTGCACCCCTCAAATACTTTTCTCAACTATCTTTGATTCTAAAATTTGTTATTGAATCAAAATTTTTTTTAATTTTTTTTCGCTTGAACATATTCGATACTAATAATATATATTATTTTTTTTTTATGAAATGTATATTAAAAAATATATATATTATTATATTGAACATCTATTTATTATCATATTCATAAGAACGTGTTTTCGAACTATAGATTGTCAAATTGTTCCAACTCTGTTCTAGTTAACAGTCCATGCACGCATGGACCTGATCATGGTGTGAGCCATAACCGACCAACGATTATGTGAACCACCCTATGATGACAAGAAGTGCAACAAACCTCTTGCACATAAATATTCCCCACAGGATTCAAATCTGCAAACTTACAAACAAACATCAATTTGTTTATTTTTCTTTGGGTCTGATCAAAATCTGGACTTATTTTATTATTCAGAATGAAAGCCTTCCGATGTCTTCACCATTGTCAACTAGAAGTCCTTCAGTGTCATCAGAACAAGGCAGCATCGATATTCCTGAGAAAGGTTTCCTAATTTGTTTTATATAAAATATAATGTTATGTATGGGACAAAGTGAACATTCAAACTATGGCTCTGGCTCAGGCATTAGTGTTTCATTTTATAACTTAGAGCCAAGCTCTATCTCAGGTTCTATAGCCAAATACTATTTTTGGTATGGCAACCAACATGAAACATCAGCCCAAATTCAATTTTGCGACAGTGTGACTAAAAACCACGATGCAAAGGATCACATTTTAAAATTAACCTTTAATTTTACAAATTGAAATTGAATTAAAAAATTAAGAAAGTTATAGATGAAAAAAGCTAGATTTATTGTTTGTATTCAATAATCAAAAATTATACATGTAAAAAATGATAAGATAATTAGGAGCTGCAGCCACTAAAATTTCTGGTAGGCTTGACTCTAATTCCACCAACTCCTATGGTAAGCTTGTCTTGAGCTCCAATAAAACTCCACGACTCCAGACCCCGGTTCTGGTAGACTTGTATAAATTTTTAACATATGATAATCATGTTGAAGACCTGAGTTGAGTTTCTGAATTCTACAGTTTCATAGTTGGTATTTCAGATTTTTAATGGTTATGAAATAAGTTAGAATTTACCAAAAAAATATCAAATTGCATCAATATTATCGAGCACTCTTCAAGAAGGATTGCATACGTAAGTTTTTGTTATCACGACTTGATTTCCATGGATTTCAAGTCTTGAGTCGGAATTGAAACGTTCTAAAACCCAGTTAAAATTGTTTTCAACCCATAATTGGGCGTCTGGGTTAAGGGGTTAAGTTCCCCTGACATCACAGCTCCGGTCTTTCATACTCAAAATTAAGAGCAAAATTGTTCTTACCGATTTTTTTTTCGCCTACAGAACCTCCTTTACCAGTTAAAATCAGGCCGATGTTGCTTCCGGATAAATTAACTAGCAAATCATTCAAGACGTCTGAAACTCGACGGAGTACCCGTGATAAAGACAATTCACATGATCTGAAGGCTATCACAGATCCCGGTGATCTGATGGATAAAACTGACGTACTAGAATGGATTGTTTTCAAAACGAAACGAAGTGAAACAAAAGATGACGTTAAGGAGATTAAAGCGGGAGTAGCAGATGCATTAATCGTTTATGCCGCAGAAGCTAGTAAAAAAAGTAAGAAAAGAAATGCTAGATAAGCGTATAAAATTAGGTGTAGGGTTGGATATATGACTCCCAATTGCCATTTGAATGACCTCCTTTTTGAAGGTCATATGGGGCTGCCATTTGCCAACAAGTTCGATTTCAAGGGTAACTTGGGTAACACTATTGCGATGATTTCGAATTGCTGACCCCCAAAAATGACCCATCTTGTATATTTGTGATCTGTTGGGTGATGATGTATTGCAAAAACGTAGATATGAACAACATTTCAGTGATAAAATCATCAGTGAAAAATTTGTATAAAGTCGGTTATTTAATCTAATTAAACTACCACTAGTTGTTCCGCTATTCTGGCACTCAGCTATTGGCTATAATGCTGTTTTGAGGTTTATGACATAACGATACAATTTGATTGACTTTTAGCATGTAATTGTGCCGTCTCAGTTAAGTTTCGAGAAAGTGTGGTCCAAACCCAGGCCCGCGGGCCACATGTGGCCCGCCGCTTCATTATCTGGAAAGTAATCAAAATATCGCATTATGTGTTGTTTCGTCATAAAATTAATCAAAAAAATCTTTTGACATATTGTCATCACTAATGTCACTGAATTAAATAGTTTTATGGCTAGTTGGGGAAACTAGCAAAGTTAAATGATCTGCTTGGCAGTCTAAATTGTTATCTGGCTTTCTAACTTTTTGGTCGGGAATATATCCTAACAATATAGGCATCATAGAAAACTAAAAATTGAATGCGAATTTTATTAGCCTAGAGTGTCTATGCCTGATAACTGTGTGATTGCACAATAAAAGTGTTTGTTTTGTATTGCACTGTTTACCTATTCCTGTCACTATTGTGGCCCACGAACAATGTAAGAATAATTTTGTGGCCTGCGGAGCCGACAACCTTGGACAACCCTGAACCACTTGCAATTAATGAACTAAACTTTTTCTCATTTACAGATCTACTGTACTATGAAGCATTTCTTACAACATATAGAACTTTTATGACTCCTATGGAGTTGCTGCAAAAATTATTATACAGATATCCTTTGATAAAATTTCTTTATGTTACGTTTTATTTTAACTTACTTTTAACCGTACACAGGAATAACCAAAGCTGAACAATCTATTTTCGGAATATATTCTATTTTAATACAGTGATACCTCGGTAGTCTTAACATAATTTGTTCAGAATTGGTGTTCGAATACCGATTTGTTTGAGTACCAATTACCAAAACCTTTTTGCCATATCAAATATGGTAATTATTTAAATATCCAAAATATCAACAAACGTGTACCTAGAAAACAATAACTAATCAAATATGCACATAATAAAGAGGGGTCTATGAGATATGTTTTTGTGTACATTGACGTCATCAGAAATTGTGTGGGTTCAGCTATCACGTTAGTCGCGCTTCATCGCTAGGCCATTTACACCCATGTATCGAATATAACTAATTCTGAATAAATTTATATAGTCGGTGTGTTATGATATCTTTAACCATGCATATTAGGTACTCATACACACATGCCTATATATATATATCATTACCTATTTCAATTTAAGATATGATAACGAGATTATCCCAAACTCTCATGATTTGTATCATTTATGAATTTTTTCTTAACTGAAATTATTTCAATATCCACATATAAAAAATTTGGTAAAGAATCAACCGAAGAAAAACGTGATCATCAACGTGCAAGCAGAAATGCATTTTTTTTGTTACTGAGAGTTGTCGATGAATTGAGGTGAATTTTTTACTCAAATTGAGTGTTTTTATTTTATATCATGCAGTGAAAGCATATGCGTGTTTAATGTCAAGTGAATCTCTTACATTACACCTGATGAAGTTTTGTACTGAAGTAACAAAGACTAAAATTGTTTCAATTTAGCATAGCATACTCAATTCATTTCACTGTCTTACTATTGCTCAAACCATAGATCTCTAATATGCAACATGTCATATGTAGGGGGTTCTCAACCCTTACTCAGTCTTTTCCTTCACACAGATATCAAAAGTAAAATTACAGACTTGACTTTGTATGTCTAGCACTAGGCAAGATATTTTTTCAGTAGCAAGAGAATAACATCTGTTTCCAAACAGATTGCATTGCAAATTGCAATACTAACAACATTGCAATCAGCAAGTTGGTCAATGGTCAACATTTGGTCATGTACATATTTTACTAGCAAAATTTACATCAAGACAGGTTGTAAACTGACAAGTTTTACTTTATGAATTGAGATTAATTTGAAATTGCTTCTGCAATCTAGGAATAAATGGGCTCGTGTTCAGTACCCCATTTCTCAATTTCTAACAATTTACCTAAAATTACATATTCTACTTATTTTCCAGCTTGGTCGATATTCAAGACAATGTTTTAAACCTGTTAATGGAACTCGTTTATCAGTTACTGTGTGATGGAAACCTGACTCTTGCCAAGTTACTGAGAACTAAAGTTCTTTTCAAACATGAACATAGAATGTCAAATATTGTAGATAATATTTTAACGCCGCTGTCATCCCTAAACATATCTTCAAAGTAAGTAAATCAGATTTTGAATCCTTTTTAAGTGAATTTTTTATAGATTGCCTCTGATCAATTCTTCTTTAAAATTTAGTGAATAAATATCTATATTAACAATGACAATGACAAATTTGGGATTAGAATTCTCTAATATTTTCAGAGTAACGACAGTGGCCGATTTCAGCAGTGAGAGGATTGCAGAACAAATGACGTTACTGGATTTAGAATTATTTCAAAAAATTGAGGTAAGATGTTTTGATATCATATATGTATTGTGCATCTACCTCTTCGTAATGACTATGGGTAATTTATTTCGAGTCCGTCCATTCGTAATTAGAAATGTAACAAAGTTCTTATTGCTTCAAATAGGTGCCATCCGAGTATTGTATAATAATGTGTAACGTGTGTCCATTCCATTTATGGGTGTACGGATAAATCCCTGACTGATGTGCTAAGCTTGTTTCCAATAGTCGACCATATATAATAATTGCTGGTTCATCATATATGTTCAATCATTTCGGTGGATCCAGGCTAACATAATTTGATTTACTGTTTATATATGTAGTTTAGTACATTCGGATAGTTATTTGTTAGCAGGAAGTTTGATCAAAAACACAGCAAATTAGGCCTTTGTGTTTAAAGCTACCCCGTTTTCTGATAAAATGTTGTTAATTGCTTGTTTCTCATTGTGTTCCAGATTCCTGAAGTATTGCAATGGGCAAAAGAACAGTCAGAAGAATTATCGCCCCATCTAACTGCATTTACTGAACATTTTAATAAAATGTCCTTCTGGACTCGGACGATTATTTTGAAACAAGATAAACCTCAAGACAGAGAGAAATTGTTGAATAAATTTATAAGAATCATGAGAGTAAGTCCTAATTTAATTCTCACTGGTTTTCAAAGAGGTATTATGGAGAAATTATGTCCAAAAATATTTATAATTCAATTACTTTATTTTAATTCATACTTTATATAATGCGTAATTTGTACTATTATATATTGTTATTGTTTACTACTATATTCTATGTAGTGTTTTACTCCTTGGTTTTAACAAACTGTGTTCGAACTTCAAACTTCAAAGTTTGAGATAACTGTTTTTGTTTGGTATATACCATTTGCCGTGGTTGAAATAACAGACTCAGGCTAAACAATGATCTGGCAGATCAGAAATCTTTAACCTTAACTGGCAATGCAGGCATGGTTGGCCTTTGACGCTATCTGCCTGGCCTAAGATCTATTACGGTACATCCATATACACTATATTATTTACGTTTTTCAGCATTTACGACGACTGAATAACTTCAATTCATATCTTGCAATATTGTCTGCACTTGACTCTGCGCCTGTTCGAAGACTAGAATGGCAAAAACAAACTACAGAAGGATTGCGAGAATATTGTCAACTTATTGATAGTTCCAGTTCATTTCGAACATACAGAGAAGCTCTCGCAGAGGCTCCATTACCATGTATACCATATCTGTAAGTAGGATTGAATTGCAGATAAATTATATTATGATATCAGTGTTACTCAAGTTTTTAGTATTTAATCAGGAGAAGCAGAGAGTAATAGGAGGCTTAATCACATGACGAACCCCTGTCTTCTGTCTAATTTTCAGTCTATGTTAGTTAGACATGGGAATAGGTAATCATCCACTTGTTTCAGATGCTTGGTCTTGATGCTGGAGCAAGCCATAATCGACCATCGTTCACATGAACCACCCTGAGATGGCGAGGCGCCCAGTAATTATCTTGCACATATTGTAGTTGTAGTTAATTGCAGATATTTAATGGTTGCTATTAGGATTCCATTAAGTGCAGTCACATACATGAGAAGCGTAAGATTCAAAAACTACCAAAATTCACTTATTAGTTTTCAGATAGTGCATTCGCTTAAAACTATTATTCAAATTATTTGAGCGGCATTGGCTTTTGTTAAGTTGAGTGTTAAAACCAATTTTCTATAACTTTTCAATTCTCATACAGGGGTTTGATTCTTCAAGATCTCACGTTTATTCATCTCGGAAATCAAGACGAACTTCATCCAGGATTAATAAATTTCAGCAAACGGTGGCAACAGTTCACTATTCTCGACAGTATGAGACGTTTTAAACAAAGGTGAATTTCAATGCTTTTTAACAGTAATTTACAATATTGAAATCTTGCTTTGAATGGTATCCATACATGTATTTTAATACAGGAATATAGCACAGGGTTTTTCTTATCTTGAGATAATATTATGTTTAAACCAGTGGTTTTCAACTGGGTTTCCATGGCACACTAGGGTTCTGTCAGTATAGGGATTCCCATGTTTCTATTCAAATTCAAAATGAAATGTTCCATCCAATTTGAGCCATTCAAAAATCTTAATCTGATTTGATTTCAACTTTAGAATAATCACGTTTTGATTTTTGATGACAAAATCTTTCATGTCTTTAATCCAGGCTCAGCGTTCTATAATGTCGTATTCAACAGCCCTGTAAGAAACTATTTCTTGTATTACTTTGTTTTGCAGTGTTTATCCATTTGATAAAGATCAACATGTTGTTGACATGTTTGATAACTTCAGTAGTCATCTAGCTGAAGATGCATTATGGGAAATTTCACTAAAAATAAAACCAAGAGTTCGAAGACCAAGGCGCCCTCACATGTCAACTGTAAGTATGATCCTGAATATCCTATTGGTCACAAATTGTACATGGATGTTTTTGTAGTTATTGCGAAAAGATTGAGTTACTGCAATTTTGCATGTAAGCGTTAGAAGTCATTTTATTACTGAATTCAATTTCTATAATTCTAATATTCGAATCTATGAATCTAATATTGAATTAACTCCACAGGATACCAGTGTAAGTCGACCAGATTCTACTGTTACTACTGATTCAACATCAACACAGGACGCTACAATAAGCTGAAGATAGAAAAGTGTATGGAAGGAGGAATGTAAGACATATCAGGAGAATTACTTATGTTGGGGCCAAATTTTGAATGTATGATCGCCTATGGCAATATTCACATTTCATGAACATGCTAACATCTGAACTACTCAAACTAATGTAGTGTTGTGTCCCGGAATTCTATATTTCATTTTTTATGTCATCATTGCGAAATAGTTTTTTAAGATATTGTTGTTTTAAATATAAAGTAATTCAACTTGCATCCAGATGTGACCAAATATATTTTGATGAAATTTTATAATAGATTATTGGAAAACGTAACATTTCAATTTCAGCAGCCATTTTCTAGACAGTGAAAATGCACGTCGTCCAGTGATTTTGTAGTTTGTATCATAGAATATGTATGACCTACAGCAGCTTTTCGTAGTCATGAATTAATTTAGATGCCATTCAATTTTTGAATGCTCACCTTAAATTGCTTTAGTACCAAAATTCTAAAGGTTACTCATTTGCAGAATAGCTTTCCGGTAATCGATATTTTTACTATCGTTCATTATTTATATTACCCTGTTCACTTTGTAAAGGTAAAATACGCAAATCTTCAGTTAGTTTTGGAATTCTGTTAATTAAATTAAATTCACTACAACACAAGGAAATAACTAAAACTAATAACTTGAGGCATCATACTTTTTATCGCTTCATATAAGAATGACGACCATTACCTTCAGTTGTTATTTATAAATCTTGTGACGTTTTGGCAATATTTACGAAATTGGTATTTTATTATCACCTGATTCCAAACGCTGGTGTAATCTTGAGGACAACATATTCTACCAAACCATTTTAAAAGAATTTTCTAAAAAAATATGAAGAAAAATGTTACTAAGTTTATACCACTGGTTAACATTGTACTCCTGTCAGCTCCAAATGTTACTGCATCAACAGTATTACTGTCATGATTGTTTTATTTTCTGCCATACTTTTTTGTTCAACTTAACTTTTATAAGACTTAATCTACAGGACCGAATCTTCGTTATCCTAATCAAAAAATATTTTCATACTTTGCTTCCTTTGTAAAAGATGTCAAGTTTAATCCTTTTTATTCTTTTTATTACCTTTCTCGTATTCAAGAAAAAGTATGTTTTTTTTGTTTCATTTACATTTCCTTGAATCAGTAAATATCTTTTTCGCTATTTTAATTGCAATTTCAATCAGCTCAGCACCTATAGATTCTATTTGCTTTGATCAGAAAGATCTCATTGTTCCTCTTTCATTTTTGGGCCACTTTTCTGACTCACTTATAATAATGCCCACTGCCTAGTTATGGGAAAAACGCTTTGTATCAATCTGAAGCAGTTCATTATTTCATTTTATATTTCATTTTTATTGAAAACCAAATCTAATAACGGCATGATTCTGTATGCTACTCCTTACTTTGGTGTATAGGTTTGAAAAGTTTTGGTCTTCGTATGAAAATGGTATTTTGCTCTCATAGTACCCACTGCCTAGTCGTAGAAAAAAAGCCTCATGCAATCTGGTAGCGGCTAATTCTTTTTCTTTATTATTGAAAACTAGATCTTAGCAGTGACATTATCTTGTCTGCTAAACTGAGATTTATCGATTAGGAAAGTATTGCTCGCTGAAAATGGTATTGATATCTATGTATAAGTCAGCGCCATATGGTTAGAAGTATCAAAAAATGAGTTGAAATAGATTATGAATTTGAGATGTTAACGTTGGGGAGGTTGGGTAAAATTAGGGTTTTCTCGGGTTCATATTCAAGTTTATGACATAATAACTGGTTGGGTAAATCATTTGTTCATTCTGTGCTGTGTTTGGATGGTATATAAAAGGTGTTGTCAAGTTGTTCGCTCATACATATATATCAATGCCCCTTACTCAAATTTTTGTGGGTACAGCTATTCTGTGATAAAGGTAAATTTCGTAAAGTTTAGTTTTTTCTACAGGTATCGCTCTTTCTGAATCTAAAATATTGTGCGTAAAAGCGCCAGAAGTGATGTGTGCGCTTCAGAAAATCTGTCTAAAGATATAATATTAATGTTTCTCAGTTTGATCGGATCATGTTTTGTCATATTTTTATTTGTTGCGGCTTGATATTATTGCACTGTACAATGTCTTTTTTTCTGGTATATTATTAAAATTCATAAATCGTACTGCTTTTTTGTATAATGGAATCAGTTATGAGTTCGCAGGTGGGTGAAAAATTCACAAAATGTCAGGCATAGGACAGCTAGTGTGTGTGCCTGCATGCTCTTCATCACACATGGTAGCTTGTTGTCGTTTTGATTGTGACGTTTACAAACTATAGTAGCGTAATTTCCGTCTTTTCAGGGCTCCGACAGCAAGAGGAACACATAAGTCGAGATATTTTGCCTATACTCTTTTGAAGGAACTAGACCACGCTGTCAGGTTATTGACATTATTATATAACACTGTGTGTATTGGAGATTTTAATAAAAATATTCAACCACATACCGGTACCGCTTTCGTGTGCTGATAATTTCAGCTTAGTCCATCGGAGCGTTTGCGGCACTAATTTCTGACCATTGCAACTAAACTAACTAAAGCCCGACGGAAGAGATAATAACAATCAAGTTATAAGAAACACAACCGAAAATCAACAAATAACACGCAGAGCTGCGACGGCGTTTAGTCAACTAGGTAGGCCCCACCATATATGGTATATATATATAGTCCGGCAGAATCGGGCCTTAACATTGTTTTGGGACATGAAGTTTTTTTTAATGTTTAGATATAATGTATATGACATATATAATGATACCCAGGTGGGTGTGGAGTAAATAATGTTGAGTAATTTTTTTAAGTGGATTTAAAGTATCCGGTCCAAGATGACGCACATCCTGAACCCTAACCTGGTAAACATACAATGTTCAGGTTGTGCGCCATCTTGGTACGAATACTTCAGGAGCGCATTTTTGTTAAAAACGATTATTTCATAACTACATGGTTTAGTTTTGCGTACATGAATGCATAACATTGAATCGCCTTACAATGTCAGAAATTCAATTTTAGTAGAATAAATGATAGTTTATTTCACTAATACAAGCCAAGATCTATCGACAGCATCTAGCCACTATCTATTGCGCTCTTCAAACTACATTTGCGTTGCCGCGCGCATTTCGTTTTCCTAGTTTAAGCTTAGGGACTTGGGAAATATTTTATTAGTTGAATTGGATTGGAATATTTGACTTCGTCTTTCACCCCGAACAAGGCCATGTAAAATCACCCACTGGTATCTAAAGATGTGTAACGTGTTTCTTTTTGGAAGAACCGCAACCTTTCAGTGCTGTATTGACTTTGTCAAAAATAATATATCCTTGTGGAGATAGAAGGTATGCGTATGCGAAACCGAGATGTTCACCTGTTATGTCAACATAGTTGAGTCAAAGTTTTGAATACTAATACATTACACACATTTTCCTGCGTGCTTCGGTTGTACGTAGTAACGCGCACATTTTCGCGCACATGCATCAAATTCCGCTTGATTATTGAGCTATAGGTTTTTAAAGAGCTTTTGGGTAAGATTTCATTCCATAGAATTTGTATGCTGTTTTAAATAATATTAGTTTCAGCTTTTTCATTCATTCAAACCTCGTGTTAAAAGTAAGTTTTGTAATATTGCGTGTTGGTTTCCAATATCCTTGAATCGGTGATGCTAGTAAATCTTTAATACAAAAAGATCAGTACATCTGCAATAAAAACAGCAGTACCCACTCAAATGACAGCTGGGGGATGGATACTCTCATCGCGTGCCTCTTACAGTCTTACCAGTTTACATGAGTGCCAATTGGTATCTAAGCTCAGCCAGAGACAAAAAGTTTCGGACTGCAGTTGGCGTGACGGGATGTTTTTAAATATATATTCTACAATAAGATTATTTGATTGCATACTACTGAAAGTTCCGCCTTATATGTCTTTTCTCATTGCACTATTCCTTTACTGATATTCGATAATATGACGCTCATCTGACATAGTTCTTGTAGTAGTGTAGTGTGTAGCTGGGTATAATATTTTCCACGCTGTTCAGATGGGAATGCGCGAATATATATATGAATTGCTAATATTGGTTTGCAATGCGATGAAATACCATCTTGGCATTTCTGCCTCTCGCAATTGCTGCGTATACTTATCGGGGAAGTTCTGTGGCATGGTTATCAAATGAAAAAAAACATGGGAGTATTTTTTCTACTTCTCTACTACTATCAAACCTTGACATTTTGTGAAAACTTTTTTCCATGCAACCTTTTTATAAAACATCCCCAACAATCACAATTAATTCTGTTATTAAACTTCCGAAACAAACACATAAAATCATCAACAGATGCATATCACCAAGTAGATATTGCTGAATTGATCTTTATTTTACCATTTTTCATGTAATTCTTTTTGGTAAACCTGTTATCTATCGTAAATACAGCACATTTGACAATGTTGTAGTGTGACTTTTTTGACCTCACATTTTTGATATTTGTAGTTAGAGCTCTTGGGGCTCTGTCAAACAAAGTTACATACAAAATATTGCATACATTACATTACATATATTCTTTCCCAGGGATATACTATAAAATGTAGCAATTTTCTCATGCTTGTTCTCGTGATATCATTATCTTTCACTACGTCGTCGTGATCATCCCGCTGCATAACAATTCTCGCTAAGAAATAATTGACTGTTCTTCACCGGGTGTAAATCCACTTGAACCACTGGCGACTGCATTAGCAGGCTTGTATTGTTAAATGCAACAAAAACGGGTATTTTGAAATAGTACTCTTTATTTTACGCGTATGTTTCGACACTATTTTTATATACTGTATATGGGTCGCGACCCAAACTGGGCTCAACAAATACCTAAAAGTTATTGATTTTATTTCCTAGTAAATTTGGTGCTTGCGTAGTTTGTGCACCAAGATTGCGCATAACCTGAACATAGTATTGTAACAGGTTATGATTCAGGTTGTGCGTCATTATGATGTACATGTTTGACGAAAAATACTAATACAAATATCTCAATAAATACCTAAAAGTTATTGATTTTATTTCCTAGTAAATTTGGTGCTTGCGTAGTTTGTGCACCAGGATTGCGCACAACCTGAACATAGTATTGTAACAGGTTATGGTTCAGGTTGTGCGTCATTATGATGCACAGGTTTGACGAAAAACACTAATACAAATATCGAGCCGTAAAAAAAATTGCTCAAGGCTGCAAACTCCACACCCATGTAGAAATGATGGACAATGACCCCAAGATGAATAATCACAAATAAAAAAAACTTTATGTCCGAAATCAAACTTGGACCAAAAGGGCCCCTTATCTGCCGGACTAATATGGGCTTTTGGCCCCACAACTCGATCGATGCTCAACCGCTTGCCTAGTGTTTACTTATCGCCGATGATAGTCCTCGAGCTGAAGTTTCTTTCATGCAGAAGAAAACCAGAAACAGATGGGCACTACTGGTAGGTATGGTTGGACTGAAACAGAATAGGGCATTTGATTTTGTAATTAGACTATTTAAAGTGTAGCCCGCCATAAATTTGTCAATATCTGTATGCAGGTATGGAAGTATTTGCCGCAGAGGTTTTGGCAAAATTGTTCAGATACAGATAGCAATATACCGTCCAACTGTATAGACAGTACGGAACTACCGGTATTGCAGACATCGCAGAAAAAGAATTATTGCTAATATGGCAATATACGATACTGATATAGGCTAAGTACCGGTATCTTTTTAACATTTTGCTCGATACCGTATTTTAGTACCGGTACCGGTACGGTAATTGCGGGAAAGTCAACGGGAACGGTACCGATATTTGAAAATAATGTTTAAACGTGAGGACATTGAAATTAAATAATGGCATAAGCCCACTTTACGTTGCGTTGAAAGTTTAATGTGCAGTTGGTTTACCATGATTGCTCTGATTATTGAAAAAAAATTGAGTATTTGAAATTTTCAAGTGAATCTTCATTTAAATAGCAGTCTTCAAACTCTTCTTTAGACTACAGGATTAAATCCTGCCACTGCACTTCAACTTTCCCTCAATTATTCTGAACCTTCAATATTGTATGTAAACATCAAGGGAATTTTGTTAGTGTTCAGTTGTAGGGTCACGTGTAGTTTCGTACCACAAATACTTGTAGTCTGGTAGTGGGCGTGCATAACGTGATAGAGCTTGCCAAAGAAAAGCTACGATCACCCAAAATTGGAAGTGGCATCTGCACTGACGATAACAAACTCACTAACGCCAGCGATCTCTCTCATGTCGGGATTGTTGCGGCTAGAAAATGAGAGCTTGCTGGATTTAGAATGCTCGCTTTTGTGTTTTGGATGACCATCCGTACACTTTCAGTACACTTCAGAGGGTCTTATTAAGTCACTGTGATGTCATAGTGACGTGATTTTTGAATGACACAGTCAGGTGGGGGTTAGGGTTTGCATAAGAAGCAAACAGACCAGGGAAAGCGAACCAAGATTTAGGTCAATAAATACAAAATAAAGTAAATATTCAAAGACAGCGATAGAGAAATTTGAGAAAATTTATTACAAACACAAAGTCTGGTGTCTTATGTAGTTTCGTACCTCATGTACTTCTAGTTGGCCTGGCTCAATAATTTTTCATATGTCATTCCTAACCCCGGGTCTCATGTAGTTTCGTACCCAACATACCTCTAGTGTCAATCAATCAAGTTTATTTTTTCCAACCAGTAAAAAATAAATAAATAACACAGGCACAAATTACAAGAAAATAGTACACTATTTTACTGGGGAAGGGAAGTCGCGGGGAACCAAAAATGGTTATCGAGCAGCGACACTCGACACCCGGGCGTATCATAACAATTTTTGGGTCTCCTGAAGTACGCACCACAAGTACTTCTAGTTAGCCTGGCTCAACAATTTTGCATATGTAATTTATAACCCCCACATGACTATGTCATCCGGAAATTACAAAAATTACGTCACTTCGACGTCACAGTGACATAATAGAGCCCTTCAAACTATACGAACCGCCATCCAAGACGCGCAGACAAGAACCCGAAATCGAACAGTTTTTTCTCTCGTTTTCCCGTCGCAATGATCCCGATAGGAAAGAGACCGCTGACGTTAGTCAGTTCTTCATCATCGGCGCTGATGCCATTTCGGGCGATCGTATGTGTATTTGGCAAGCTCCATGACATGATTGTGACGTCGTAGTGACATGATTTTTGGATGGCTTAGTCAGGTAGGGGTTAGGATTGACATTTCAAAAAATTGTTATGCTACGCATACTAGAAGTATGTTAGTTACGAAACCACACGAGACCCGGAGTTAGAAATGACATATGAAAAATTGTTGAGCCAGGCCAACTAGAAGTACATGTAGTACGAAACTAATTTTTTTTTTAAATAATTTTTCATTTTGACTGTTTTCAGCAATCCATTATATTGTAAGGTGTTTTCTCCACGACTAATATCTCAAGTTTTTTCACAGGTTTAGTCTTACTTCATAATTTCCAGTGTGGTGTGGGTTATACAGCAATGATGTTTTAAAAATATTCGATATAGACGAATTGTATTGCAGAATGTCAAGTAGAGATGGAGGGTACAGATACTATAGATCGATATAAACCAGCTCATGGATTCTCAACATTACCTTATCGACATAGAGTGGATTCCCCACAAAAACAAATATCTTTTATGTCTGTTTCATCTACGGAGTCGGGTCCCGATACATTCAATGCAAGCCAAGATACAGTGGATGCTGTACCACTACGTATACAAAAAATGCCTTTGTTTCCGGACGATTATAGCAAACAACGTCAAGCTTCTGTAGAAAATCTTCTCGCCAATAAACCTACAAATATGTCAAGTGAATCGAAGCACTCTGGTCAGCCTCAATTAGTCGGTGAAAAAATAGGTTCCTACATCCCCTCTTCCGCTTCAGGCAATCTTGATCCTGATCCGTATTCGTATTTTGAAATGCAACAACAAGGTCTCATGCCTAAGAGTTTTCTGGATGTACATAAAAAATCTGTGGATCCAAATTCTGATTGTCACATCCCACAGAAAAATAATGACAAGGAACTTCACATGTTGAATTCTGGTGTTGAAGGTGATACATGCAATGTAAAAAAAGGTGCAGGTGGATCTACTTCAACAAAAAACACCAATAATCACAGCACTCACGATAATGGATTTCAGCAATCAGGGTACAACTTTGTTTTTTATTACTGCTCATACTCATGCATTTTACTCCAAACTAGGCTCTGTACAAGCAGTGACTGACATCTATTGATATGTGAGAAGCTATTATTTTTTAGAAAGACTGTAATCTTTCTGGTTCAGCATTTCCCACCCAATTTATCACACACTGGGTGAAGTGGTGGGTGTGAGATTGGACCCAAGATGTGTAATCAGCTATGCCAACACAGTTTAATGCTTCAGTTAACCATTATACCAGTGTTTCCCTACCTATGGGTCGCTCGTTTTTTCAACAAAAACCTCAAAGTTACTGCTTTTATTTTTTAGTGAATTTTATTGTTTATTTTATATTTGCATTGAAATATTGCTCAATAGTAATTGTGAATAGGGGAAGTATGACAGTATAAAAACTTTGCATCCGCAGTTATAAGTCAGTTAGTTCAATTTGTGACCATTTAGGGCACAAGCATTAACTACCACCTATAGTAATTCAGCATATCCTCGGGTCGCGAGATTTTTAAAAAATTTGGGTTGTTTGAGAACCACCACAAGATTATTAGTGATTTTGAAATCACTCATTCATATTTACTTCTTTACAGAACTTCTTCAAGGCAGATGGGAACCACGGAAACTGATCTTTCTGTTAATCGACCGCAGAGACCAGTTTTTAATCAAGGTGAATAATTAGGAATACCTTCCTTAAAATAATGGTTCATTGGAAATTTCAAAATTAGATAACTCCAATTTGCTATAATAGCTATTAATGAGGTTATTATTAGCTAACTATATTAAAAAAAGTTGGGTTTATATAACTGTTGATGATAATTGTTTTGGTGGTATAAACTAAGTGTACTCTTCTGTTTACTTTCGTTAATTGGAATAAGGATATATTATGGTCCAAATTGTCCTTTGAATGACATCGATTGCAATGTATTATGTTAATTAAGACTTCTGTTTGTAATAATTTGAAATGTGTCTAGACTAAATTAAAGACGGAGATCTGTGTAAAGTTTGTTATTTTACACCGTGCCTAGCTTATCTCTCAAAATTTCTTTAAGGACTTCAGAAACACGAAGATCGTGCAATTGAAAACCAACCGACTGCTCCTATATCTACTCCACCGACGCATACAAGAGGACGTGATGAAACTCAAGTGAGTAGTATTACCATGAAGTTCCAAAACTTTGAGTGGGGAGTCTCAAATCAAGTTAAGAGTCCGAGGTCGAGTCAATCACTAAATTGAGCCTCGCTTGCGGTTAGTTGATGAAGAGATATCCTATTGAGATGGGTTAATTGGAGTATTTTATAAATTGTGACTCTAGTTCTAGTCGAGTCATTGAAACGAACGTCCCCAACACAGGTTGAATATTATCATTCAATGATAAGAATGTACATTCATTTTGAACACAGTGAATCCTTGGACCATTTCAGAAAACTTATTATTGTTGTTATTTGAACAAAAAAAATACTTCCTCAACCATCAGACTATTCACTCTCAAATTTTCAGTACTCAGTCAGTTACTAATTATTAAAGATGGAGATTTCAATTTATTTTTTCAGGCTTTCTGGGACTTGTTGTTCCACCCCACATTTCGTTGATTTAAAAAAAATTGTACTATAACGTGTATTTCCAAAAAGTGAAAATAGCCTTGTCCATATATTTAAGCATACTTTCGTGTCAACTGATTTTGGGGAAAGTTGGATTTTTCTGATTCTGATTTTCAGGTAGTAGAATAAAAGTTTAAGATTATCCATAGAATTTCAACTGGTAATTGTATTTTTCAGAAACCTACTGGGTGTTGCCAAAATACTTGTATCAAACTGTGTTGCGCATTATTTAACTGGAAACATATATTTGATAGATTTTCTATGTGGGATTGTGTTATGACATTGGGTAAGTATTCATATTATCAATTTTATTTCTTCCCTTCTACAAAGTGTTTTTGTATTTAACTAAACATTTTGCATGCGTTTAGTATGCCAAAATTTAGCTGTTGGAATTCTTCCCTTTATTTCGTGCTATTTTGTCATTGGTCCACCCATGATGTTATGTGAGGTATTTTACCTAGGGATGGTCAAAGACGAATAATTTATTACTCAGAGCATGCGCCGTATTGATATTTCCGATTCCAAATATGAAATATCGTACATATTCTAAAAATGGGTCATGTTTAACAGGAAATTTCATGCAAACCATTGTAAGTTTGGAAACGCAGAATGTTCGAAATAAATATTATTTGAAATAAAATTCTTTTTATTATTGGTGTGTGAAGTAAAATTAAGTTCATTTTTATTTATTTAATTTGTTTTGTATTTTGTCAAAATAATTCCGTTCTTAACAGAATTCTGAAATTTATTGATTCATTAATTAAGGGTTTATTTATAAGAAGTGTACCGGTAATTAATTAGTAATTGAATAGCAATATAGTAACAGAATGCAATGGTAGTATTAATACTATGTGTTAGTGTTACCCCGAGAGTGCTTATTCCTATATTCAAATAGAGTTTATCAAGAAGAAAATAGTACTATATAGTAAAATTTGTTTTAGTGATTCTTATCTTTTTTATTCAGTTTCTGTATCCATATTCATTTTTGATGTCGTCACTGATTTGATTCTCGCTTTGAAATATTATTCAAAAATAGAAGAAAATGAAGCATATCGATTTTATTTTGGACTCACTCTGGGATTAGTTATTGGTCCGTCCATCGTAATACAGGTATGATAATTCTGCTCATATTGAATAATATAGTTCAGGGATGGCGAACCACTGACCTGCAGGTTACATAGTGACCCGTCATGTTTTTTCAATGTTCTGTCCAAATAATGAATTATTACAAAAACGTACCAACTTTTCAGAGATGAAAAAATTAGATTTTTAGTATGTTATTATTAATAAACATCTAACTACATTTTAACTGCGCGAAATAACAGCTTTTTAATTTTTCCTTGCGGAAATTGTTACTGTTACTGGTTAGGAATTTTTCATATATTTCAACTAAATTAGGCAGTTGATATAGGCATAATGTTGATATATTATATTGTAATTAAAAATATCAACAGTTCTCTCCTGGGAATTTAGTGTGCAAGGCTTACTTTGTTAATTCAATCGAATTTACAGACTATAAACTATTCAGCAAACTGTTAATCATTATATTGATCATTTGATGTATATGGTTTTGAGAATAATTGAGAAATATAGCTATGTGTGTAATATAACTCTTATTTTGGAAAGAATTCATATGAATATTTTCGAATTTCTTTAATTTGTTATAATACAGGGTGTCCAAAAAGTTCCGCCCGATTTCATAGCATTACCAATTGCAAATTTGAATAAATTTGGTTGTATGATAAATGGGAACTACAACATCCAACATCATAACATCCAATTAGAAACAGGTTGACCATAAATCTTTTTTAAAATTGAAAAAAAAAATAACATTTGATTATAAAGACTTTATAATCGGGCGAAACTTTTTCGACACCCTGTATGTAGTAAGGAACTATCTTTTTCAATTGGGATATTTTCAGATTAATTTCAATCATTCTAAAATTATAGGAATTATTCAAAATATCTTTAAAAAATATTGATATTATATCTTATCCTTCTCTCATTTGTACTGTATCAATTGATTTTCTCATTGGTTGCAAGGACTTTTAGTGAGATTAAGATGTAATTGCTAATTTATAAAACCTACTTGGTACTCTTAATTCTTTGGATAAGCTGTTCAACAGTTGAACAAGTAATCGAAGTTGACTACATACAATCTACCCAGCTTTTTAATTATTAATGTATCCGAATATACTGTTGGCATGTGTGTAATGATATTTTTTGCTCTCTATACATCTGTTGGTTTATGCGGTTTGTTGGGCTTTTACGGCTCTTGATCCCAATTTTCAACGCATTTCATCTGCCGTCACAGATTATTTGCTTCATTATTATATAATGTGCTCTAAATTTATCACGATTCCGAGGATCATTTTGATATGAGTAAGAAGAATATATCGAAATTGAATTTCAGATAATTTTCTACACCCATTTCAATCTACACATATTCAATCTACAGATATTTGAATTAAAGTCATATTCAATATATTGAATCTTGATTTTGGATACAATTTAGAACAATTCAATCTAAAAAATTATCCTTCATTAAGCACTTGAAATTTCATAGTATGACCAGGGAGGCCTTCCTTATTTTGAAAAACTAAATAGAGAAAGAACCAACCAAATTCCTTAGAATATTTAGTTTTGATAATCCCCGATCAAGATCAGCACTCCAATTATATTTTAGGTTTATTTTCCAATTTTTTTGTTAATGAACATGATATTCGTATATAATTAATAATAATATAAGTAACTTACAGTCCAATTACCAACCAATACAGTATTTCATCATATTTCATACAGTAAGGACTTAAAATCAATAATTTTATTGGTTGTCCTTCGTGACCAATGCAGTTATTAGGGACGCCTGTATCTGATGTTTTTAAGAGTGACCTCTGTGAGTTACTCAAAATTTCGATATTCAAAATGACTAAGATGCAAAATCACAACTTTGAATCATCAATTAATTTTACAAAGTAAAATAATGAATTGTATTGGACTAGAATTAATTGATTTCTACTGTCTGTGTTTATGGAATACAGCTGATAAATATTTCATTTATGTCACATTTTGTTTAAGGCATGCCTAGATGTAATATTTATATCCATCTATATTCTTTCACCCTTTCACTGCAGAAGTAAAATTGGCCGAGACTGCCAGACATATTTAGATAAATAAGGGATTTTGGAATAATATATGTGACCCAAGAAACACAAGAAAATCGATTCCTTGTCATTTGTCAATACCTATTACTTACTCACACTGAAACTAACGCTAAGAATGACACACATCTCCCCTGTTAGGAATACAGAGTCTGGTTGGTTGTGTTCATGTTAATACTGAATAACACAAAATACATCACCTAGTCAATATATATATTTTTCAATTGGTTACGTCCATAATTGAAGATAAATGATGTTAAATTTTGGAAGGATTTATGTGATTTTGTCAAGGTACATATCAAGCGCTAACAGGAAAAAGATGAGAACAAATTTAAAAAAAGCAACACGGTGTTATTATTAATCATTGTGAGTAAAAAATATAGGTACAATTTTTACCCTGTATGGTTACAGAAAACTTTTATATAAGGGTAGTTTTTGAACACAAAATGGGGCCAAAGCTATAACTTATATTGATAAAATATATATTTTTGGGTGAATTTCTATGGGGCCTGATATCTCGGTCTGACTTTCACTATTATTTTTAAATGTATTGCCATTTTTTATCTATTTTCTCTCTATTTTTATATTTCCAGATGTTTTCATTTGGTTGGGTTATAATTGATTTTGTATCAAAGAAAAAACGGATGGAGGAAAATACAAAAAAGAAGCAAAAATGTGAAATTAAAGATGTGATTACACTTTTATTCAGCTTTATTATCCACTTTTTTCAATTAGCTATTTTTTACAGGTGAGTGTAAATAATGTTAGATAGCCTTTAATATAGATAACTTTCAATTTGCCTTTGGTATACTTTTGAGCCAGTATCTACTTAACCATAATAATTTCTGTAATAAATTAGAAATTCACTTTTATCAAAACAACACTAAACGGTAGTTGAAATTATGGTTTTTATATAAAATTTGCAATTTTCGCAATTTGCAAAATGAAATTTGTCATATATTATGTTTCAACAAAGTATTCCTTTTGGAATATTCTGAATCAAAATAAACTAGAATATCAAAGTTTTCTCCTGTTTCAGCAAAATTATAAAATCATAGTATGGGTATTATTAAAATCTTGAGGACTCTCTTTATATCAAACATTTTTAGTACCAAAATATTTGAATGGAAAGTATTTGTATCTAGTTTTGAACTTCCAATATAGATTTGCACTGGTTATCGAAGGTCAATTCTTTCATGAAAAACCTGGTACGACTTGAAATTAATTAAATATACTATCTTCTTGCAAGGTCATCATAGCGAAACTGCGACAAGTATTTTTCTTTGCTCTGATAGAACTTTTGTTGAATGTCAATGAAACATTTTCAGTACTCTGTGACAGATTTTGAAGGCTTCTTCTTTATAATCCATGAAATATCTTTATTTAGGTATGCACACGGTATCATTTATGGAATGAAATCACGTTATTATGAGGTCCAGACAAAAATATGTCCAAAGCGTGAGCAACAGAAGAATGAGCGAATAAGAAAACATTATGATCATATGGTGGTTAATTTAATTAAGTTTATTAACATTAAGGAAATGCGTTCTCAGAATATAAGTTGTATATACTTCCATTTATTTTCAACTATTTTGGGTACATTACTCAAATTCAAGTTCCATATACTTCATTTTACAATTGTTTAAAGGCTGACATTATTTTTCCACTTAATTTTTAGTAAATGATTTTTTTGTAACGTTACCATCCGACTTTTCAAAAACTTACTCACAAATATAATGTCAATGCGGTACACAAATTAAATAATAAATGTAGACATACTGTATTAAATTTTATTCCCGGTTTAAAATTTCAAAAACCATCAACAGGATGTAGTAGAAAAGGCTTTTTAGCATGTCTAATCGCGTTTTTACATTTCGCAACATTATTACTTTTGCGGGCAGATGGAAATCACAATTTCATTATTTTAATTCCATTTCGAAGTTTCTCCCCACACATCATTTATTTGTTCATCTTCTTTTCGACATCTTATCCATTATTTACGACTTTCAATGAGCAAATGGAAATTTCTCTGAAGTAATCGTCACGTCATGGTGCCCTTTTCAAATGTATCATCACATCATTCTTGATTATGGCATGTTGTACGTCATGTCAATTTAGTCCAATTCTTGTGAATTCAATATTGGTTTTTGTTATATTGAATTATAGAGAATGCGACTGAGTGAAAGAATTGCTATTTTGGTAATAACTAATTTATCATTTCGTTATTATGGTACTCGTTAAACTAATGCATGAGGCAGAAAATATTTTACAGTATGTAAATTTTTTTAGCAATCATATCTTTGAACGAACATTTTGGATCAATTTATATCAAGATGTACTTTTGGAACATTGACCCACAGTAGTTTAAACTATACTTCATAGACAACTATTATGAACTACACACAATCACATGACCTACCTCTCTTAATATTTATGTAAAGGGGATAGGCCACCTTGAAATACAATACCAATACAATTAATCTCAATTAGATCGAATTTTCCATGTAGCCAAAAAAAGGAACTCAAGAGGTAAACAATGCTATGTTCGAGCAATAAATAAACAAACTTCATCAAAGATGCACAATTTTTGGTTTTGTCATTTTTATATTTTTTCTCATTATCCATGTACTTTTTTTTAAACTTCGACTGTTGACTTAAAATTCTGCCAGCCTCTAAAAAAAGTCCTAAAGTCCAATCCCAATAACCAGAGGGGAATTTAAAGCAAACTCCAAGGAAATTTACCCATTGTATTTTTTTTTATCCTGCCCTCTATAAAAAATTAGAGTAACCAAGAAAATGGTAATAAAGGGAGGATAATTCTTTAACAACCCTAAAGTCCAATTTCAATAACCCAAGGGGATATCAAAACGAAATTTACCCAATGTATTTTTTTTATCCTGTGAGAAAAACACACATTACGGTACTTGAATATTCGTAAATGCCATTGTATATTCAGCTTTGATTATTCACTGCAGTGTCGCTATAGAACTTCAGGAGCGATATAATAATCTTCATTAAATATTTGTCTATTACAATGGCTTGATGGTCCATTACAAACTGTCTGATAGTATTGTTAATTAAACAATAGCGCAGGTGTCAATACATATTTGTTCTCCATCAAACTTCTACCATGGGATTTTATTGTCGTATTGTCAGGGTAAATACAACAAGGGGAATTGAATTTCGACATCTTCTGAAACGAAAAAAAAGTTTCGCTTTCCTATTTGTCTGTAAATTTTATATAAAACATAGTTTACTCGAACGGAAATGTTCTTTTGGTTTACAATTCAAACTTAGTCTTAAAAAAAAAAAATCTACTTCATTTTAGGTACATGCATTATTTCTGGAAAGCTTTAGAAATCAAGTATAGTTTTTTCGTATTGCTGTGTTAAATTTATATTCAGGTTGTAAAATGTTTATCTCATCATTCAAGTAAGCTATTATTGCTGTTCTTTATTTTTCATCTACCCAAGTATATCATTGAGTATGCATTCAATATATTATGTTTGGTATTCTTTTAGTAAAAATATGTCACCTAATTGTGTCACTTCTTTTTTTCTAGTGGAGATATGAAGTCCATGATATTTCCATGTTGCGATTACTGGAATCATTCTTGGAATCTGCTCCTCAACTTGTACTTCAGTTATATATTATGCTGATGACTAAAAATCTTAATGTAGTGGCAGGTAATTAGCTAAAATATTAACATCTGAATATTATGTTGCATTCATCAGGTAGAGTTTCCTATATTTATCTTGGAAGATATAAAAACCAATAAGATTCAAATACTGTCTCATTCGATTACCAGTCCAAGCTGTCGGAAAGTGGAGTAAATCCTAACCCGCCAGTGAATATTTGAGACACTATGAAACAGAGAGGAGTACAGTAATGCTCAAAACATAATTTTTCTTCATAAGGTTCAAACCTGTAAACTGAACAGAGTAGCAAACAGTGCCTATGTTGCTTAGTGTGTGACCATGGATGGTTTCATGGATTTGTAACTTGAATTAGTTTTATTTTCGAATTTGCATAAAATATCAATGCTTGGCAAGCTTTTGAATGATTATAGACTATTCCTGAATGTCCCTCTGAAATATTATATATTATGTCAAGTGTTGGAATAAGTCAATTTAAATGGTAAATTAGTGAAATTGATAGCTAATCCAGTTGATTATCGGCAATTGTACACGACAGAATAAAATAATGTACTAAACAAAAATTTTGGTAAAACATTTACAGTTAATGCGTGTTAATAGGAGAAATCAAAATTTTTATTCAACATCAATTATTTCGATACCATCAATTGATATGAGTGTATATTCAAACTGGGTTGTGGAATATATGCCATATTTGGATAAGAAGTTGACCTATGGATTGTGATACTAAATTGTCATAGCTCTTGTCCCTGCAAAGATTATTGTTGGGAATAATCATACCTACTCACATCCTTCAAGTCCATTTATTTGAGAGTTGCTCTCTTGTTTCAAACTGTTCTGATCTTTTTGCTTTCATATTCCAGTTGTATCTTGTGTTGGATCACTTCTTGCATTATCTACAATGATGGTAACAATACAACGTGCAATCCGAAATTCTAACCATAAGAAAAATCAACTATCAATACCAGCTAGTATCGTCATGTTTTGTTGGAGAGCCTTCACAATTTCATCCAGAGTAAGAACAGTGCATTAATTTCTGTATTTCTTTTTTCAGAAGGCGATAATTCTCAATCTCAAAGATCTCCAGTACTCATTATTGAACAATTTCCTAACTAAAACCATAGTAGCTTATGTCACATTTTTCAGAAATGAACTTTTTTCATATTCCGTCATTCAGACCGGGGGCCATCTTCTGGTCTGGGTTCCTAAGCTGTACCTGTTTTAGTTCACAAACGAACTGTTATAGTTTTTATGCAATTTTCTTAAAACCTTAGAATCTGGCATAAGCTGATTTGGTTATACTGAGGAGGTGTGAAGAGCAATTATTTTGTAAGGACCGGAATCTTTCTTGTTGGCCTACCTAATTTAATACACCATGGGTCAGGCACAAGATGTGTAACCTGCAATGCAACACAGTAAATCTAGCGTCTTAAATCCCACCAATTTACTTTTTGACAGGTTCTTGCATTTGCATTGTTCCTCACAATACAGCCATTGGCATTCCTTATATTCATTATTATGCACTGGGTGGCTGCTACAATATGGATTGCTGTAAGAGGAACAGATTTTTGTCCTAAGAAAATTGCAGAGTATTTATTCAATGGTATTTGTGGGTGAGTTATTTACAAAAAATTAAGCTGCTTTTAATCAATTAACATATGGTCATTTTTATTTACCATCGAATGTTGAATAATTTAAAGTTTAATAATATGACAAAATACCTTCAATGACACTGATGTGCTTGACTCTATTTTGGTAATGGTGGTTCTCAGTACTGGTTTCAAGTCTTCCAAATTTAATTGATATTTTCATTTAACATAAGTTAGTGTCAAAAAATATTGTGACTCAATGGTGGTCAGGTTCCCCAGTTTAAAGAGCACTGTCAGAAAATCTTATTCAAGCAACGCGGAATCTACAATTCAAATTGGTCAATGAGGCCAAATATTCACTCCATTTTACCCCGGGTCTTTGGGGTGACTTGGACTTTTTCACATTGTGTGATCACTATCTACCTCTAACAACTGTGACTGTATATTTCAGTATTATCTACATATTTTGCTTCTTCAATGTACATGAAGAAAAGGACGGTAGAAATTCTCGATCAAGATGGAGGATGCTGATATTTTACCTTGTCGTGTTTGCCGAAAACTCAATTTTTTCCATTTTATGGTACTTCTTTAGACCTGGCGGTGATACTAAATTACCTTCATGGAAAGAACTGATGTCGAGCGGAATTTTATCTAGTTCTGAAACTCTTCAACCCACCCCGCCATCTCTGATCCCAACTAAAAGTGCAGGGGTTATTCAAATGGGACATGCATTGCTCCTCATTGTTGCGGTACATCTATTTTACATACTGGGATTAACATTCATGTTACTATATTATTTCGCTTTACATCCTAAAAAATCTTCAGAAAATTGTTGTCTTGCTTCAGAAACTGAAAATACTACTCAAGAGAGTGCCACAAAACTCGTAAGTGCCCCGGAGGAATCTTTTTCACGAAATATGGTCGTGTATTCATCTGTGCCATGTGATGAACAACTATCAGTTTCTGCTGGTAATTTGTTGATGAGTAGTGAACCGCTTAATTCTCGTAATGCAACTAATATGCCCTCTAGCAGCAATTCTCAACATCGAACTGGTCAAAGAGAAAACTTGCGCCATAGAGAAAGGGGTAAGATATCAAGAGAAGATAATGAATCTGATGTAGAGGTTGGACCTTGGTCCATGACTGTTTTCGATAGAGATTTGCGGACAAAAAAGTTATATAATCGACAGTATTCACAGGAGAAAATGTTGGAAGAACATGGTACTTCTGAAAGTATTGATGAACAAATAGAGTACAGTCCGCGGCAAACCAATCGATTTAAGGCTGTTGTTACACCAACGCATAACAAGCGTACAGCTCTTAATTCTCCAATTACAGCAGCACCTGGAGGGTCGCGGCATAAGGATCCGGATTTTAGCAAATCTACGAAGGACAGTGCTGATGTCCATATGCCTAGTGTAATTATCAGGCCTGGGTCGCAAACTCTTAAGCCAACAAATACTGCTCCACGTTCAGCCACTCACCATGGTTTTCAATCCCAAACTCTTTCATCTTCAAAAAAAGTCAGGCAGCGTACAACTCCACCTTCATCTCTAAACACAAGTCCTGTCAAACAATCACCGAATAAATTTTCACAAAAGATTCCGCCATCTGTAGAGAGTAGAGACTACAGTGCATCCATGTCCTGCCTTATGGAAACCAAGCCACATTCATATGCTGCTCGCAGAAGACAAGCATTGGGTGTTCCTCCTGCGACAAGCTTCATGATCAATAAAGGTGAAATTGTAGAATCGATGGAGAGTTCTGTTTAGATTCGATAGAACGGTTTTGTCAGCGTCCGATATCTATATATATATACCAGCATATGTATCTTGCCTGTGTAATCATAAAAGTAATGTCCATGAAAGTAATCTTGAATGTATAATGACTATTGCCATACTTCCTATACCATTTATATATTCAACACAAGCAAGGAGTACAAATGAAATTTTATCAGTGGTAAATGTCTTGCACCCATCTATTTTTTATACCACATTACCAGCGTTTATTTTCCAGATCTGACTACGGTAAAGAGATCCAGACAAATAAGTAAAGTGTAGAAATTAGATAACTGTTCAAATATGTCGAATAAATTTGCCTCCAATGACAAATCAAATCATAAGAACCTAAATTTTAGTAGTTGATAGTGATTCATAATTTGATATGAAGTCAAATCTCACTATATGATTTTGATCTGTAATTTGTATAGAAATTTTGCCTGCAGTTCAGAATATGATAATTTAACCATAACTTGGGATGTTCAAACGATATATATTTCATATTTGATTGTATTGTTAAAATCACCCCATACATTATAGTGATTCAAACAACACAAATTTAATTCTTTATAGAAGATTAAATGATTATTTTACATGAACTCATAATGATCCGTTTGATTTATGTTTAAAATAAGCTTATAGTGTTCCTAGAAAATGTTAGTATCTGTAGTTAGCCGTATAAAGACAGTGTATATGTAAACTTAGCTTACCAAGCATGCAATAGTTATAAAAGACATTTTGTGTTGTGAGATTAACATTTCAGATCAAATTATTTTCCATTTAATGTCCGTTATGGTGAAGCATGATGATATCTAAGCTGATATTTAAGCTTTTAAAATATCCAGTTTATCCAATGCGCCAGCCAAGACATACAAAAAAAATCATGTTTACTCAAGGTTATAACTACATGAAGATATTGCAAGCTTATCATTTTTATCTTGTATAAACATATGTTTTGTAAATAGTCTCGTTTCAATAATGTTCTTATTCTTTTTTATATAGCTAATTCACTCTGGTACCTCAGCATCTCGTTCAGCAGCAATCCAGAAACATACTTTACCAAATTCATGCCAAAAATATTCATTTGCGAGCTTGTTCATATATATGGTGAATCTATGGTGTATAGTACATAATATTCTAATAAAATAGCTAATTTTTCCGTAAGAAAAATCTTTGCCAGTTACCCAGGATCTGCAATGTTGTCCACTTATATGCCCTGGATTTCACTCATTGCATTGGATAGCTTTTCTTGTATGTGTTTTATAGGGTTGGAATTTTATTTCAGACCACTATCTTAAGAGGAATACTGATGACACACTGGTTTGGTTGACACAATCATTATTATTTTGCAATTTTTTTTCGAGTGACCACTTTTAGTGCCATTATTTTATTCCACTTGTTTTGCTGTATTTTTTGTTTCGTACTTTAATTTTTCATCAATAATGAAGCCAACAAAACAAGAGTTCTACGTACTTATATCTGTACTGTGATTTCAATTATGATTTATATTTTTTTTTCGTTGCTTCTGTATTAAAGAGAGTACTATTCTTCACCTCCATTATTTTCACATATCGCAATATCACTTGTAATTTTTTCTTGTATAATAGATTGTTTATTAATTTGGATTGTATTATTATTGTCTTTTTCTACTGTCAGTATTGGAATGATTAACAATTAATTTTTCATCTCAGTCTGTTAAAAAAATTCCCTATCCCAGTTACCAAATAAGTTTATCTGGTAAAATATTCAAAATGATGGATAAGTTCATTGTTCATTCAATCGCTATAGTGCTTTTTCTGATGTGATATGATATAATGTGGCATAAGGCATTTGTGCCTTCACTATATGGTTAAATTACATTCACCTTTATCAATTTGTCGTCTCGCATTACCATGACGAAAGGTTCTGCAATAGTAACGTGTAGCATTCATTATTTTCACATTTTGCTTTTACTGTGAATATAGAATTTAATTCTTTTCTATTGTGTATCGTCCAGGCATAAATTTTATATAACCAATACAGTATTTGTTGGAACATAATTTTAACACGATATTGACCAGAAGGAAAAGGCTGATCTTTATGTGTATGAATTTGTGTTCATTATGGAGTTTAGTCGGTTGGTTCCTAATTGTGCCTATTTTTTTCTGTTGTACAAGATTAGTTTAAAGCAGGGGTGGGCCGGATTTTGACTGGCCCGATGACTGTATCCAACCACACTCTGTAATATGGTCCGACGCATCATTCTTGAAAGTTGCCGATCGCTCTACTCTCACCGCACTGTCAGTTGCCTTAGTGGACAAACAATTGTGTTAGCACACTTGTTAAACAAACAATATAAGGTCAAAGCAGAGCGTTGTAATGGAATATCCCAAGAAACGTAGAGTTGACAGAGATTGGATACCGAAGTATTTTTTGTAATGATCCGGCCCGCCGAGGACTTCATCTTCCCACATCTGACCCGCCGACTAGAAAAAACCGGATATCCGGTTAACCAAGAGTTATTTTGCTATCTGTTATCCGGATATTATTGTGACGGTTAACCTAGGGTTACCATATTTGAAAAAGCAAAATTCCGGACAGTGCATGACTATGTCGCACAACCTTAGTCCTAACCGGTACACAAAAACTATGTTCAGGTTGTGCGCCATCTTGGTGCGCATACTTCTTTCTGGAGGTCCCTATTTTCATGAGACCATATATATGCGCTACCGAAATGCTAAGCCTGCAAACGCTATACGATACTCATTCTAAAGCGCCAGCTACCGAAATGAAAAGTAATGTCTTCAGTCACAAGCAGAATCTCACACCAGGCAGGTAAGCACACTCTAAATATAGCTACGGGCCGTCGACAGAAAAAATCTCAACTTCAGAGTGAAAAATAAGAATGAGAATTAGATTGTGCCGAAACGGAAAAACAGCAATTACATGCCTAAAACAAATTAAAGACAATCACTACAAATTTACTCTTCTGACCATGCATATTTTTCTGAAGATCTAATTCTCTTCTTGTCTGATTTCAAAAATGAAAACAATTCACTACAGTGCATATCTTTGAAATTATATTGGAGAGTCAACATGCCTTTTATAGTCGCAACTTGTTTCTCTCTTTGGTCCACTGACTTTGCATCAGTGAAAAGACTCTCTCTACATTGGCATTGCGGGATGTAACAGCAAAGAAAAACAGTTCAATCCTTAAAATTTTGGAGTGGCATGTGATGTTCGTAGACTGATCGAAATATTTGCACCATTTCTTATGCGTTGGCAGTTTAATAAATTCTTCGTCTTGTAGGTAACTTTCCACAAACTGCTTCCTTCAAGTTACAGAATTGGTCAAAGCATTTATCATCGTCCACATCAACCCGTTTACTAATCAGATGTTCCAGGCAAGGCTTTACATCAGGGGTCGGCAACTTTTTGTCGCTCGCGGGCAAAAACCAAAGGTTGCAAGTCATTGGCGGGCCTCATATTTTTAGAATGTTGAAAACCGAACGGATAGCCGATGAATCACACTTTTTCACACAGATCAGAAGTTAAATTTAGAGCAGCGCACGCATCAACTTTTCTGCGTTTTGTTGCCATTTGTGTAATTATAATTAAATTATAGGGTCATTAAACGCGCAATTGTGAGTTATAACATAATTTAGCCTACGCGTGTCGCAAAATTAATTCTGTTACGTAAAGAATATAATCGTTAAAACAGCTGTTTTGTTACTATAATCCAGTGAAGCGTCGCGGGCCGGATTATATTGCTCCGCGGACCGGATCTGGCCCGCGGGCCGTAGGATGCCAACCCCTGCTTTACATCCTTCCAACTTGGTATCTGGTTCAAGGTTATCCATTTGAAACAAGTAAACTCTTCCATTGGTTTCATCCATTTGCACAGGTATTCCAAGCATCTCTCATTGACGTTTGCAACTCTAACACCATTGATAAGGAAAACGCTCTGTTATATTAAAATTCCATACAACCTCGTAGTAAAAATATGCGCACGGTACGAAATAACAATGTTCTGTATTAGCAGTGTGCACATTACAATTGCAGATGCAGTAAAATTCCGGACATTTGAGCATTTTTCAAAATTCCTCCCGGACGCAAAATTTAACCCTAAATTCCGGACATGTCCGGAATTTTCTGGACGGTATGGCAACCCTAGGTTAACCGGATAATAGAGCGGTTAAAATAATGCATATGCGCATTAGCGATTTTTATGTTTTGTTGAGTGGCGACTGACATCTCCCAGGGCATATAATAACAACTTTTTCCACTCTTAATCTGTCTATATTTTAGCCATCCGTAGAATGGTGGAGTGAACTTCACTATTACATCACAAAACACGCAGAACAAATGTGATTATTGCGCTTATTAGAAGAGCTCATTCGCTTTTTAAAGTTAGAATTGAAGTGGAGGTACAGTTTAAGCAAGACTAACTTAAACGAATTCAGTTGAATAGCATTGGTTGGGTGGGTGTGAGTTTGTTGCTTTTTCGTCGGATGTGGCTTTTAGTTGTTGCGTGTATCGAAAGAACGCATTTCATCATGAAGTAAACCAGTTTGAATTTCGAGGACTTATTTCACAACACTTCCGATTCCACGTAATCTGTGTAGCATTTCAAAATTTTGGGTACACGACCAAATGTTATGGGCTTGCTTTTAACTTTGGTATATATGTTTTTTTTATATTTCCATGTATCAATCGAATCAATAAATATACCAGCCGAAATAAATCTATTCTATCTAAGTCAGGTGTATGTTAAACTAATTGAACTTAGAAAGCTTAAAAAAATGGTCATCGTGAGTCTGCGACACCAAAATTTAGTACGAGTCAAAATTTAAAGAAAATATGCTCTAGACACAAAAGAAACTTCCAAAAAATTTAACATAAAAAAATGAATAATATAAATTTTTACATAGGATTTGAATATAAGAAAATAACGTAGCAGTCGAAGGAAAGACAATAAGGATACAGTATAAATTCCTTATATTATCCAGCTGTACTTCTGTACGATTACAGAGCTTAAATTTTTATTTATTGACACATGCAACATCAAAATGCACAATCATTTTTATTCGAGAAAAATAATACATATGTACGTATTTACGATAGAACTGTGTGGTGGTTTCTAGTCAAAAAATCTTGTGAAATCGGTTCTCTGAAATTAGCAGTAACTATCCGGTTAACCGGATAGTTAAAATACGAAATACCCGGATATATCCGTTATCCGGATAGTATAAATTATAGGTATCCGAACTAACCCTAACGACCACGCTTGAAAATCTGTCTGAGTGAGAAAAATGTCTGAGTGGATGCAAAAAGGGAGCATTGTTACGTCACTTTTCGCATCTTGCTGATTGGCCAATGTCACGAAGTAAACAAGAAAGTCGATGCTCGGGGAAAGGTCCATTATCCGGTTAACCGTCACAATAATATCCGGATATCATATAGCAAAATACCTCTCGGTTATCCGGGAAATCCAACCCTAGCTACGACCCTCGCGCTCTGACCAGTGCCGGTACCGGTACCGAATCGGTGAAAAAAGTGGGCAATGTGTTTTGAAATTATGAAATTGTTTTAATTGGGTGCAAATTATACTAATTCGACAATAAAATTAATATACGAAAATTCCGTTTGGCATTGGAATTTATTTGGCAAAAAAAAAAAAAAAAAAAAAAAAAAAAAAAAAAAAAAAAAGAATCGGTGAAGTATGAACTGCTGCGGCGATGGGACTTTTGAATTATCAAGTCAAGTTTATTTTATCCAACCAGATAGCTGATTTCAGTGTGACAGGTGGTCGCGTATATCACAACAAGTTATTTTGTTGTTTATCTTTATAAATTATACGGTAACTCTCTAACTGTAACGAGCCCTTTTTAGTTTTCGAACAGCAATGCTGTTTGATTTTGTATATGTGAATATTATTGAATTATATGAATAGATTTTGTATGTTAAAATCAATTTATATCTAGACAGCCAAATTGAAATTGGTAAACCTATGTTATATACTTCATAATTATATTGTACCGTATATAAAGATTCTCAAGTGTTTTGCTACAAAAATTCCAAATTTCAATAATAGAACTGGTAATCAAAAATAGCAATATGTTAAAAATTAATAAGACAAATTTTGGTAGACTATTCGTATAGTCATGTAGCCTAGTTCAAATAATCTGGTTTTGTAATTATTGAATTCGGTTAATAAATCCATTGTACATAAAAGTAAAACTATATTATTTCTGCATTTATTATTGCGGCGATGTGGCTTATCGTGCTAAGCGTTAGGAACACGCTCGCCACCGCACCTCCAATTACTCTGAGTGGGTTTGAATCCCATGCGGGATGGTTATGTGCGAGAGGATTGCTGACTCCTCGCCGTCGTAGGGTGGTTCACGTAACCGCTGAGTGGTTACGGTTTCCTCCATCAAGTCCATGCTTCCGAAAACAAATAACTAACTAATCCCATACCCGACATGGAATGGCAACCGGACGAGAGGATGTGGTTCGCCATATGGTTAAGCGGTGTTATCGACTTTCCTCTCCCCCAGGATAAATATGTAAATCCTTATAACACAGTGATAGCATTTGAATTATTATACATACTGACATAACAATCTTCAGATCTTCAAAATATATAAATACAATTGATTTTGCACACTCTGCCAGTAACATACCCCTACATCGTAGCATTACAATATAATGACTATTATTGGGTCCCGTGTAGTTTCATACCTCAAGTACTTCTTTCTAGTGGGCGAAGCATAACTATTTTTGCACATGTCAATCCTAACCCCCACCTGACTACTCCATCCAAAAATTACGTATGTACATTATATATAATCACATTATAAAGCTTGCCAAAGTATACCTACATTGCCCGAAATGGCATCTGCGTCGTCGATAAAGAACTCACTAACGGCAGCGATCTCTCTCATATTGGGATCGTTGCTTGCTTTTGGATGATGGAGTCAGGTGGAGGTTAGGATTGACATATGCAAAAATTTTTATGCTACGCCCACTAGAACTACTTGAGGTACGAAACTACACTAGTATTTTATATTTAAACTTGCTTTATTAAGCTAAGCATAAAGCTATAAACCAGTAGAGTTACAGAATGACAATGACTTCTGAAAATGATGACATAGATTTTGGGAAGCTTGAAATAGAATTGGAAAACGCTATTGCAAAAGATGAAAAATATCAAAGGGAAAACGATGCCAAATTTAGAGCAGTTCATCAAAAAGTCGCCTCATATGATGAATTCCGAGATATTGTTCTTGCATCACATCTTAAACCTTTGGATAGGAAAGATATTAGTGGCGGAATGAAATATCAAGCCTGGAACACATTAGCTTCTGCAAAATCCCAATCACCATCTGACATTGATGTAACTGAGACAGTTAACTCATTCAAAATGCCTAAAACTTCTGCAGAATTTGATAAAGTTTGGAAACATACTTGCAAATCACCGGCACAAAAGTTTGATCTTCTAGGTAAAATTGGATCTGATAAATTAAAAGATTTGTTTAAAACGGAATGTCCTCTTGGGGAAATTATCTCAGTTATAAAATCTGCAGCTTCATTTCCGAAAGATTGTGACATTGTTTTGGAAATTTTCGATGTCATGAGTAATACAAAAAGATTTTTACTTTCATTAGACTTCCTTGATAAAAATGAAAGGAATGATCTGAATGAAATTTTAGCAGAACTCAAAGTTAATATTGACAATAATGAAAATTCAAAAAAGTATGATTATGTTTCAGTAAAATATAACTCAAGATAGTAATTAGACACATAAAAAATTTCATTGTGATTTCATCTGATTGTATTGTTTTATAATTATCTTGCATTTAGATTTAGTTCATTAGAGAGACTGATTACAATGAGAAAATATTTTAAAATTTCAACTTAGTTTGATTTTACCTCTTTGGCAATTCTGAAATACAGTACTTTATACATGTATTTTGTCACCTGGATATTTCAGGATTGATTTAAAAAAAATATGTATTATGATAAAATGTAATTCTTACAAGAAACAATCTGCAATCCTTTTGATCTTAATAATGAAACCCACTATAGCTTATAGTAATCATATCTCATTAATGCACTACTGTTCAAAATCCTTTGATTAATGATACATTTATTGATTTATATAGGTTTGTCACTATATTATTGATATATAGTGTTAATCACGTCTTTGCACCTTATAAATATGCATAAGAGCGGGATTATGCCACTCTGAATATAGTTGATCCGGTTGAATATGCTACACCTGTTCTTTGTTATTGTCATTCACAGCTTGTATTTTTGCATGTAGGTGTGTAATAGGAGGTAGTTGAGAGTTTGAATGCATCTTAAATTATATCTTCATGATTATTTGATTTTTTGAAAATAGGAAAGCTATTTTTGTTATGTATGTTCTGTTTTTTTTTATATATTTTCTAGTGTCTATATATAATGTCTTGGTCATCTTATAGACATTGACGGTCATTTGTGCAGTGTGCACTTTGGTGCAGTGTTTTTAGACATTTAGGTGAGTGTTGTTTCTATTTTTTTTAAATGGTTGTAGGGATATAAAGGAAATAGAAGAATTTTTGTCAAAAAAATCTTGGTTACATTTAAAAAAAAATTGTGGATTCCTACTAAATCATAAATATAGCAATAGACAGGAATATTCATAGAGCTCTTTGTATATTATTTTTATTATTATTCTTGGGTGTTTGATGATTTTCTTGCACAAAATATACATTATTTCCCTTAATATTGGTCATTTATGCAGAAATATTATGATCTTTTGACATGGAATTGATTTTGTTGCTGAGTGATTTAGTTTCAATTTCAAGTGTCTGTTTTGTTACAGTAAACTGCGTTTTAGCTCTTATATGTATATAAGAGCAACAGGAAACTTATCCCATTGTGCGGATTAAAAAAAACACCTCAAAATATTAATCAAGCGTCAGCTGTTGTTGTTGGTATCTTACATGGGGAAAATTTTTCCATATCTGACATTTCTAATTGTTCAACTTGATATTGATACTTTTATTCCTTGATACATCTCTGATTACAAATCCCCTTTTTTGGTATAAGTTTATAATATACCCTTGGAAGCACAATATCCTATTTATATAAATCAGCTTATATTTCAGTGCAATTCCTGCTTTTGCTCCGACATCATGGCAGAATATTTGATAAGTGGCGAGACTAGCTACGTTCCTGTAGATGGGCTCACTGCGCCACAACTTTTATCTAATGGTCAGGGCCTTACCTATAAGTAAGTATGGCGACTTGGTTTGTTGATTCTGTGACTGTGATATTAACAACTGTGATATGTGATATTAGACAAAGTCCTAGTATAATCTTCTCTGAATGTCATTAATTATTACAGAAAACATATGTGTTGTGAACCACAGAGACGTTTAATGTTCAACCCGTATTGTAATGCTAATATACAACATTGGTTCAAAGGACCAAATAGTTATTTATAAACTCTGTCATTGAGATGACCTCTTTGGCAATAGTGTTGATCTACATCTACCACTCGGGTCAATTGACTTCATGATGATTCAGCCGTATCTTTAATGATGATATTTGCTGATTTGTTTACTAAAATAAATGAACATGTCATTTGTTTAACGTGCTGTCATTGTGTGAATTACATTTCTACCAAGTGGTATTTTATTTCATATTCCAAAGTTGATATTTGTTGACTGGTGTAGTTCACCTCTTACCGCTTTTGTAAGTAACTGACTAACTGTAATGAAGTGATTGTGGAACATTTTTTGAGAATATTCTGTCTTAAATCCCTGTACACATACAATATGTTCATTGGCACTTACTAAGTTTGTAAATGCCAACTTTCTGACAATCTTCGATACATACACTTTATCATGGCGTGTATGATAGGTCAATCACCAAATTATGACATTTCAAACATACAGTACTCCACACATTTCACATGTTCAGAGATGGATTATCTGGCTATTTTTTCTCCTTTTTGTTCAGTTCAGGCCAATAATAGTGATGGAATATCAAAAATTATTTACTGGATAATTTGGTGTTGTATGATGTTGTAACGGATTGACAATTATCTATCATTGTACACTCATATAATGTCGTTTTCCTTTTTTTCAGTGATTTTCTACTATTACCAGGATCAATTGATTTCACCGCCAGTGAAGTGGTGAGTTATTTAATAATATAGTAATTTGAGTAACATATAACACATGTAAAGTAACAAAATACCCACTTTTGCCTCTGGTAGTGAAATGCTTTCATACACACTGCACATTTCAAAATGAGTACAAAAAATATTTTATACAACTCAAACAGTCATTCAAGCGAATGCTCATATATTAGGCAGCAAAACTGTTCTCCCTATCAAATTTACACCATTGTTTGTCAACTAATTCCTATTACACAAAAGAAGAGGATTTTTCAGTAATGAGATATTTAGAAGTTGCTATTGATTTCTTTTCTTAGTTATTGTTATTCAATAATTATAGATTTCATATTGAATTTCACTAATGTTGCATCCTTGTCATTGCATATCATTCTATGTGTTAATAAGGTGTAATTTATATTCTTTTATTCACAGGATTTAACTTCTGCATTAACCAAAGGAATCACATTAAAAACTCCACTTGTATCATCACCTATGGATACTGTTACAGAAGCTGACATGGCAATTGGAATGGCTGTAAGGACTCTAATAAATATATACCGGTAGTTGTTTAAGTAGGAAATCTGATTTTGGGTAACAATTTTCCTAGTGATAGTATATATGTATTTCCAGCTGATGGGAGGGATTGGATTTATACACAACAATTGTACACCAGAATATCAAGCGGCACAAGTACGAAAAGTGAAGGTATATTGATCTTTCATCATTATTTAATATGCTGTATCGATAGCCCCCATTCATTCATCTTTAAATGATATCAATACTATATGCCCTTCCATGTAAATGGTACATTTTGACGTAATTTTTTTAAGACAATTTTTCGCTTGTGAAACATGGCTTAACCAAACACGGACATAAATTTTCGTCCCACCAATTGCTCAAGCAAAAATCCAAGGTATTCTTTGTATTGACGGTAAACAACTCAAGACTGAACATGTGATCCTATGTAACATAACATACCGGTAATCTTCTGAAACTACCTTATTGTCATAGAAATGATTGAAATTTTTTTCTAACAAATTTTCCTTTTTCTAACACATGTTAGATGTATCCACACTTTAACTACAGATCAGTGGTATTGAGAGCAAGTGTAAGAGCATACATAACTGTTTTATTCTCCAAAACTCAGAATCATAAGGGATTTGAATTGAAATAACCTCACAAAAATTCTTGAGTAGTAAATGAGGTTATTTAACTGTTGAGAGTTGGACTTCTAACATTCAGTTATATTCAAGTAGTGCAAGTGTGCAACATTTAAATTATCTTGCCTACAAGTTTCAGTCAAATAGAAATGACAGTGAACATTCGATTGTCCCATTTCTCATGATTCTGAGGTTTTTCGGTGATATTACATAAAAGTTTGAACACTCAGCCTATTTTTTACTTTTTTGCATGCTTTCAAGAGGTTTAATTTGGTGAGTAAACTTGGAAATAGGTTTGCCAAGATTGCAATATTTCAAACCTTTTCCTGCACTTGTTTATTTCTGTATGATATGACTTAGTTGTGTATATACAATTTTAAATTTATATATTAAATGATCTTTATAAAGCGTATCATTGCCGTATAACACAGCTATTTGCTCGAATACGGTTGATTATTTTTCTCTTATTATAATTTTTCATTCCCTCCATCTTATTATATATTATTTAACATAGTGAATAAAAAAACTATGTTATACAAGAATTTTTGATGACTTAATTCTGGAATATGCAGGTGAAATGCAGACTGTATATTTAGATCATCTCATCATCATTTTTTGTTCAGTTTTTCTGTAAATGGCTCATTTAAACATGACATGTTCATATTTATAAAACCAACAATAACCTTATGTTAGTAAAGAGTTTTCCAGTGCTGTTTGGCCTGTTCCATATTTTATACTGTCAATATTAGGAATCAAATTATATGGCATTAATATTTTGGTGGGATTCAAATCCATGTTGTGGAGTATCGGTACTTTCACGAAACTCTTTTTAGTGTAATAGTATTTTACTTGGAATATTATTTCATCATAGTAGCTATTGTCTAGGCCAAATAAGATCTGATAATATTATTATTTTGTCCAGAAATATGAACAAGGCTTCATACAGAATCCCATTACACTGGGACCTAATGCTACTGTTCGTGAGGTCTTCAATGTGAAGTCCACTCATGGGTTCTCTGGAATACCAATTACTGAGGATGGAAGTGCAAATGGAAAACTATTAGGCCTAGTTACTTCTAGAGATGTGGATTTTCTCAAACCTAAAGATTATTCAACCCCAATTTCTGAAGTCATGACTCCCTTGTCCGATCTTATTACTGCATACACATCAGTAACACTAGCTGAAGCAAATGATATTGTTTCGAAGAGCAAAAAAGGTTGGTTTCTTATCTATGGTGTTCGTATTTAATGCAAAATGTAGGAATGTTTTTATAATCCTCCACTGATTTTGTTCTAAGATAGATGAGGTGTGTGGAGAAATTGTGTGTAATTTAATCTTCAATTGTAAAGCATGTTCTGTTATTGAAAATTTATTTTATATTTTAATCAGGCTTACACTTTCTCATTGTGTCAAAATTATTTCGGACAATAATAAACCTGCTGTGACAGTTTATTCATTATAACTAAAATATGGCTTTAATGAACTAAAACACATCATATTCAACAGTCAACACCAAAACACAACAACATGCAGCGTAATTTGATTTAGTCATTGAATATGACCAAACTTATCGAGCAATTGTCTAATCCACGTAGCTGCTAGTAACAGGTACAATGAGACATACAGTCCATTGCTTTTTATGATATAATCACTGATTGCAACACAAAGAACAGTAATAATGATGTACTATAAACAGAGGAGTCCCAAGTGTAGCACACTGTACTAATTCTCATAACAAAACTAGGCTTATACTTACAAGTAATAATAGTTCATGCCTGATATCTATTTCCATATTCAATATTTTATATATCTCAATTTTTATTCTTTTGACGTTTCTGTTTTTTGTCATTTTATATGATTTACTCCAACCGAATATCCTGTTATTTTATTGCTTGGGTAGCTGACATTCGTCTATTCCAAATCTATCCAGTCTCTTGGGATTTTGTTTTGGAACCGGTTCTTAATTACTAATCAATCATTATGACATTTAATTACTTAGCATGCTTATTTTATCTCTTAATAACTTTGATAATTATGCTGCCCTTGCCCTATCACACGCATTGTAAGATAATATTCCAGTACAAACATTTCTCTAAATTGCATTTGTTCATGATTTTGTTATCCTTTCAAAACCTAACACTCTAACATCAATTGATATCATGACTCTAAACATTAGCACAGAACCTATGATACGATATATTTGGTATATTTAGCCGCTTAATATACCATTGGATGCCTACTTATGAGGTACTTATTTAACTAAAATAAATATAAAACATGATATTAGTATATGTTAACTTGTGTTCAATTTGAAAATATTTCATTACCACAATTTCCTTCAATATATTGAAGTACTTGCAACTGTAATTGTTGTGTTTTAGGAAAACTTCCAATTGTAAATGAAAATAATGAACTGGTTTCATTGATTGCAAGAACGGATTTAAGGAAGAATCGTGATTTTCCATTGGCTTCGAAAGATAAAAATAAGCAACTTCTGTGTGGAGCAGCAATATCAACGAAAGAAGATGATAAAATAAGATTAGAATTATTGGTTGAAGCTGGTGTGGATGTCATTGTCTTGGTTAGTTGTCATAACTTTTGTTCATTTATAGCAGTTATTGATGATGACCATGCCTGAGGTACAGATCGTTTTTACACTATACATATACATTACATTATAAATTGTAATATACTATAGTTATATAAATATAAACTCAGAAAGAATTAGTTGGTTATTCTGTTCTGTTATTCTACAGATTTGGATTACTCCGTGAAGGGCCATTGGGCATTAGAGAACAATAATGCTTGAATATATTGAAACGATGGTGCAATGAGTATCTGCAGTAGAGTATGGGCCCTACAATCATTTAAATTCTTCAAATCTAAATTACAAATGATGTCCCAACAAAATTTTGGATCGACTGGTCAATTACCTGAAGTAGACCAATTTTTTTCGTATCTACGGCAATAACTTGACCATCTGGTTTTACTCACTACACTATCTAATATCCCGTCATTGGTTTCCTAGAATTATTCACAGAAAATAATTCAGATTTTTACCATTCACCACATATCATTTATAACGAAATAATGAACCGCAAAGAATGGCAAACTTGACATAATGAGCAAGAAATTTGGTTATTTGAATCGTCAATTTACTTTTTTCCCAATTTTTCAATTGCTTATTAAATTTCAAATTTTATTTAATTTATATTAATTTAACATTACTATAGTTCTAAAAATTATTGTTTCATTTTCACTTGCATTCTAATACAATAGGATTCATCACAAGGAAACTCCGTGTTTCAAGTAAATATGGTGAAATACATCAAACAAAGATATCCAGGGTTGCAAACTGTTGGTGGAAATGGTAAGGAAGATTTTATACGATTTAGCACTTGAATGTTTCTTTTATTTTCTCATCCATAACAATAACTTTTTCAGTGGTTACTGCAGCGCAAGCAAAAACTTTGATAGATGCTGGAGTTGATGCTCTCAGGGTGGGAATGGGAAGTGGATCTATTTGTATCACTCAAGAAGGTTAGAAATTGTGTATATATGGCACTTTTTTGCATAAAAAAAAGGAAATGTTCAAATGTTATTAAACACGAAGTGGGCGTATGGATCGTTTGGTTATTAGGTTGTTGTTGTGAAAAAAAGCGTTTCTCTTCAACTACTGGACCAATTGCTTTGAAATTCTCAGTGGTTAAAGATTGTTTTTGCTAGAAAGCTATTAATTTTATTTATTTCAAAAATATCTGTGGGTCCTATGGAATTCATTTTTTGTGTGTCATGACGTCATAAATTAAAAATGGTGTGCCTTGGTTCTGTGATCACATCTTAGTGATCTGATGGACAGAATGCTGTTACTGTAAAAAGATTTGATACAACTTCATTTTGGCTTTCGTGTCCATATATTTGAACATTGCTCTCTTGTTTCTGATATTATTCTTTAGCTACGTGAAATTCCAAAGACCAAGTTTTACACCCAATTCAGATATTAATAGATTTTATAATAACATGATATTTACTTATATATACTGGCTTGTTGTAAATCTTTAATGATTTGTGATCATTTACCCCCATGGCTCTAAGTATTCATCACTACAGCTGGATAATCTTTTCAAACATTCCAATGCCTCTTTTGTTTCAGTATTTTATAAAGAACTGAACTTAATACTTTGTCAAGTGTAACATTAAGAGCACTTGTCTAGTCTCAATAGGGTATAATGATAGAATGAGATGGGTACTGTAACACCTAATGGTTGTTATCAATGGAATATTATAATTATTTTTTTACCAGGTGCTTTTGACTCGAAGGTCAATGGGTCGTTTTGTAAGTTGGGATAGTGTGTGTAATAGCATGTCACATTCGCTTTTCAATTATGTGTTGCATTTAAAGCATTACTAATTTTATAGCACTTGATAGAAAAAGCCTAAAAAATCCTTGATGAGTTTTGACATTGATTTTTGATTTAGAAATTTTTCTTACTGATGGAACCATTGGGATGATTTGAACACCATGTTGGTTTTTAGAGGATTGCAATGAGATCATGAATTGGTTCATGTCATCTATCACTAATTTGATCAAGCTATATTTCATCTTATTAGCTCACTTTATATCAAAAGTAGTTTTTCAAAGTAGAACTCCGTGAAATTTTTTTGTGTATATCACTAATTAATTTGCAAAATATGCTTCTCAACCTGACGCTATAGAACTACAATGCTAGACTAAACTATATGTCCTTGAACTTGGTCATATCATGATCAATGGCGTGATGGATAACTTGCAAGAAATCTGCTTGTCTCACACCCTGACTGTCATTGTGTAATTGATTTATACTAAAGATGCTGTTGCAATAATAAAGTATGTTCATTAATTCGGCCTTGAGGAATTTGAGCTTGAAGTTTTCTGATTTTTGATTGTGACATACTTAATCTAGATTTACTGTTACTAATCTAGGTAGAAATTGATAATATCAATCATCACCAATAATTGTTGTTATTAAACTGAATAGTTCCCTATCTATTTGTATTTACTGGAGAATTCAGAAAGCAAAACAATTTTTATTTAGTGTCACCCTTTGCTTGCTTCGCAAGTTTGTGATTTACATTTAGAAATGTATATAGTTCAGAATATCAAAAATAACTGATTTGTACAGGAAAACATACTGTATAATTCTTCAATTTTAAAGTGTATTTTTCTTATTTGTTGAAATAGGGAACACATTTTGTAGTCTTAACATAACATATCGATAAATCACGTATCCTGATGTATATTGAAGAAATTTGATTTCCTAAACAAAACCAGTTTTTATGGAAATTATATGCAAGAGCTCATACTAACATCATTCTCAATACCTGAAGCAGATAAAAATCTTGCATTTCATAAGAAAAAGAGTTAAATTTATTAGCAATATATAGATTCTGGTTTCCAGAATACACAATACTCATGCTGCTAAACAACACTGGCTTGAAATTTTTGGCATCTATTCTGTTTATTCTTATTGGCAAGCAGTTACCATGGCTTTTTATTTTTATTCCCATAGAATGGTCGTGATATGTTAATTGTGACCGGCTTTTATATTGCATGGCATGATTTGATCAGATATATCACTGATCGCCGTCTTTTTATCGAATAATAATCTATTTTTATTCCGTTTATCCCAGTGATGGCTGTTGGACGTGCTCAGGCCACAGCAGTATTCAAGGTATCAGAATATGCCAGAAGATTTGGAGTTCCTGTTATTGCAGATGGTGGAATGCAGAATGTGGGACATCTTACCAAAGCACTATCTCTTGGTGCTTCTACTGGTATGTCATAGAATTTAGAGAGCACTGATGTATCTTTGACTCTTAAGATTGGAAGCCAGAATACGGGCATGTAGCAACCAGCATTTTTAACTTAACTATCCAAGCTGGATGCAATCATATAAAAGTCAAGATGCAAATCCTTCTATGGTTTATTGGAAAGCTCACTTTGTGAACCCGAGATAATACTGTCACCATTCCCATGTTCCAAAGCTGTTGGATGCAGCTACCTATAACATATTTTCTTGTATTTCAAATGTTCGTTTGCGCACCAAATTATAAAAGACGAAGCCCAAAATTTATAAAAAATAATCTGAAAGCTACAAATTTGTACAATTTGTGCCTTTAATAGCAGTTTACAGTACTTTCTTAATATTGAGATATGACGGTATTACTCTTTTTTATTTATTTTAGTAATGATGGGATCACTACTTGCTGCCACCACAGAGTCACCAGGAGAATATTTTTATTCTGATGGTGTTAGACTAAAAAAGTACAGAGGAATGGGTTCAGCTGAAGTCCTAAAACAGCAAACATGCATGGATAGGTATTACAGGTAGGATTCTGATATGAACAATATGTGAAATGTTCCCAATATATATATCTTGGCTCCTGAGTGTGAATTAAATTAATTAGGAACTATTAATTTTTTATTGACAAAGTGTTACAATGCCAGCCATCACAAACTGAATGAACATAGCTGCATCCAATGTAGTTAGCTTTTGGTTTGGTCTGTTACTCAAATTAAGAAGTTTTCCTAACTACTGCTTCTCCTTCATTGCTTTTGTTAGTGGATCCGTATGCACCGAATGCAAGGATACTGTAGCAAGAATTGAAACACCGCTGCATATCTATTCCATTTTGTAACATTTCAGACAGCCAAGTTTCAACAATGGTAGGAAATGAACATAATTATCCTATCATTGTTGCAAACAGCTTGTCTGAAAATGCCGGACTTTGGTAGATGGCAGATGTAACCTTTGTCAAAAAAAATTTGCGAAGATTTTTTTTATGATTTTTAGTTCGTAACCTGTGTCAAAAAAAAAATTTTTTTTAATGGTTTTTAGTTCATGATATTCACAGAGATATCCATTTAAAAACTAACATATTTTTCAGTGAAAAGGGTTCTCCTATTATTGCTCAAGGTGTATCTGGGACTGTGCAAGACAAAGGATCAGTTCATACCTTTCTTCCTTATTTAACTGCCGGTATACAACATGGCTGTCAAGATGTTGGCAGTAAAAGTTTGTCAAGATTAAGGTATTATTATTAAACTTGATTTATTGTTTTTTATTACTAAGGTTTTTCGATCCTACACTTTTAGGTCTTTTGATTGCTGCAATGTAAAATCCAAATAAGGACTATATTTGCGCCTGTTAGTACACGATGAAAAGGCAAAATTCTGTATTATAATTGTATAAAACCTTAGCACGTAATTTATAGAAATACACTATGAAATTCTAAACCAATGACGATTTTCTAGCATTTTATCTTCATTTGTCACTGCAGTTTTATTAATTTTGGTGGTTAGTCTTTGCTTCGCTCGGTAAAGAAAATTGACTTGCTATTTTATTCAGGGCAATGATGTACAGTGGTGAGCTTAAATTTGAACGTAGATCTGCATCAGCACAAGTGGAAGGAGGAGTACATGGTCTTTATTCGTAAGTTATGATATTTAATATTTTCAATGACCTAAAATAATCATTTTTTTAATTCTCATTACTCTTGTTTCAGATATGAAAAAGCATTCATGTAATCCACGCCTATCATTTCTGTACGAGATTGCACCATGAACAATGTTTGTATGTTTGACCCAGCATATATTTTTTTTAATTTGTAAATTGCTGTGGTACTGCCAAAAACCTTAAGAAGCTGTAATCGTGTGCCAATTGATTTATCTTAACAACAATTTTTTTCTTCAAGTCAAGTACCATCTGTGGATCGGTGTTTAATTTAAGCTTGTGCTCTGTAAATGTATTAATGTGCATATGAGTAAGAGTTCATCATAATGTAATTGTGTAATAGATTTGGTCATTGTGTTTTGCCCTTTAGCGAATCCACAATACTTTATTTGCTGGCTCTACATTTTGAGTTCTATTTACTTAATTAGTCTTCCTCAGTACTAAAGTAATTTATGGATATATTTCCTTTGCAATTTTTTGTGATTTCATGCTTTAATTTCACCCTGCACTTTCTTTAGCTTATAGTATTTATGTTTAATCTATAAATAATATTAAATCCTTTTATTTACCCAATAATCCTTTATAATAATTATTCGGATAAAAGAACTTCTATTTATTTTGACATTTTTTGTTGTTCAAGTTAATAGGTAAATTTATGATGCCCTATTTTCATTTTGAGTCACTGCTGTCGTTCAGTAAGCGCTACATTGCCTAGTATGTCTTTTACACTGTGTTTCATCTCTTCATAGCCATGTTGGCAAAACAAATACAAGAGCAAAATAGCGGGGTGTATGTGTCATCATAACTCGTCCTTTTTCACATTGATAGGTCTTTTTCATATGCGGCAGTGTCTTCGGACCAGTAGTTTTCAATAGGTGGTGGTGGCAGGGGTATTGTAGATTCAGCAGAGACTGACTGTTCTTGCAATCCGAGTAAGAGGATATTTTTTTCATTCAATACAGGGGCACAAACAAACACGCGTCTTGCCAGAATAGAAAAAACAACTGTTTTGGTGAATAGCTAGTTGGTGAGGACCACGACGTTTGGCGTCGTCAAGACTCCCAATTTAAACATTGTTTTGTGTCGGTCGGTATGCATATATATATTGAAGGTCATCTTGTCTCCTGAACATTTTATTTCCACCGGGATTGAACTGTCAGAATTGGTTACCACAATATAAAAAAGACGGATAATGGGTCATCATCGAGTACAATTACATGGGTAAAAATAATCGCGCGGGCTTAATGTTTGCGTACATCAGTAACTCTTTTGGGATAAAATTAACCTATTTTCGACGCCGTCCTCCCGCGCGCTTTCGTTTCACAGACGAATATTGTGTCCTCCATACATCAGTACAATCTTGGATTTGGAGAACTGCGCTGTACTGCAGTGACACATTTTAAGACAATATTACGTGCACACACTTTTTATGCTTGCTATTAACACAAGGGAGCTATGCTCAAATATATGGACACGTCACAAGGTATTTTTTATTCTGACACATAAAAAACGAATCTCTTGAAGTCTACAGAAATTTTTTAAATAAGTAAAAGTAATAGCCTTCTGGCCAAAAAATCAATCTTCAACTACTAAAAATTTCAAAGCAATTGGTTCAGTAATCAAAGAGAAAAGCGACTTTTTAAAAACGTGTCGAAGAACAACAACAACATAATATTGTAACGATCGTTATGTCCACTAACGTGTCCAATAAATAAAACTTATAGTGTAAAATCCAATAACACTATATTCAATAAATATCGCCGGTGATGATTAAGTACCCGTTCATGCAATTTATTCTTGGATAGCTCGTTGGCATCGTATCATAACAATTTCATTCGGGTCAAAAGTTCTAATACAACATATATATATAGCCTATATAGTATATATAATAACAAAATGTTGCAGCACATACTACCATAAGTTTGTTTTGACTCCATAATCAGCATAATAGACGATAAAATAATCGATAAAAACAAAAGAAATAAAACTGAATATAGAATCGAGAGAGCAAACCAAACCTCAAGTAAGGTTTGAAACGCACAAATTATAGATGGAAAGAAAGGAATTGTTAAAAGAAGTAGTAGGCTACGACTTCCTCCACCACCAAGTCCATGCATCTGAGAACTAACGAATCCCATACCCGACATGGAATGGTAACCGGACGAGAGGCCGTGGTTCGCCATATGGTTAAGCCGTATTATCGGCTTTCCACTCCCCCGGGATAAATATGTAAAAAAAAATCCCAATCCTATCGGAACTTCACAGCTGGTCCGCTCGTTCATGGATTTTACATAACAACAAGTTATGCATTGTCTCTGGCCAGGTCTGAGTCTCGGTCACATCAACGACTAACATACGGGTCACGTCCAGCAAACGACGGCGAACGTTTGCATAGTTCGAAGGTCAATTAATTGGCACAGACGAACGTGATAAACAATTTCGTACAGGAAACGAGAAGATTCGCGTTTCGAGAGAGGCAGGTTGTAATGTTAATGGTTAATGTTAAGGTTAATGGGGGGAATGGGATTAAATTAAAAAATGATAAACAAAAACATGGAAACAAAAAAAAATATTTATTTATATATTTATAATAAAATGATTTGATACCAAAATATTAATACGAAAATTCCGTTTGGCATTGGAATTTATTTGGCACAAAAAAAAAAAAAAAAAGGTTGTAATGTTACTGTATATTTATGTAGGTCTTCGTACATAATCAAATATGTTCCTCCCTTCCCTCACCCCAGGAAACTATATTATTCTTTTGCAATTAGGGCAATCCATGACCTCTGTGAAGCTAGCAGCAAAACACGAAATTGTGAATGACAGAATCGCAGAAAATACCCACGCGTAAAATTAAATGTTCCCAATGATTTTTAAAAGAAAGTGTATATTTTGATTAGATTCACAATAGCAATTAAAGCCAAACAATCATTAACTACACTCCTCGTATTGTTAATATATAGTAAACAAGCTAAAGCCACTATTACAGTGCACAAAATTTTTTTATAATTCTTTGAGAGATGTTTAAAAATGACTGAATTTTCGTCGTGTAACATGGTCGTTTCATGAAAACCTCCAATAAAGGCAGCATTGCAACACCATTGGTGAAAAGTAGAAGCCTCAAAGATTCGATTCCAATATGTCAGAACAGTAGCAGCACGTTTTGACTTGGCCATATACAATTCCAAACATAGCGTATATTTCAAATTTTATTAAAAAATGTAGATGTGACATATTTAAAAACGGTTTGGTATTTCAACTAAATTTACTGGAAAATTCATCAAATATTTTCTTCTCTTGGGTATACAACAAAACTGTACGTTCATTAAACTTGGAATTAGTGTGCAAATCTTAAAATGCCAAAAAATGATTTGACGCCCTCTTGTGGATCCTTTTCGGAATTTCGAAAAATTATCGTTTTTGAAAGGGCGATTTCTCAAAAACCGCCAATAAAGGCATCACTACGACACATTCGGAGTAAAGCAGATACCTTATAGATTTGATTTCATTATGTCAGAACAGTAGCAGCACGTTTTGACTTGGCCATATATATTACCAAACATAGCGTGTATTCAAACTTTTATAACAATGCAGACGTAACATATTTAAAAACGGTTTGGTATTTCAACTAAATTTACTAGATAAATTATCAAACATCTTCTTTTCTTGGACATACATATATACTGTACGTTCATTAAACTTGTAATAAGTTGCGGAAAGTATAAAATACCAAAAAGCATTTTACGTCCTTTTGTGGATTATTTTCAAAATTTCAAAATATTATCGTTATTGAAATAGCGATTTCTCGAAAACCGCCAATAGAGGAAGCATTACGACACATTTGGAGAAAAGCAGATACCTTATAGATTCGATTTTATTATGTCAGAACAGTAGCAGCACGTTTTGACTTGGCCATATATAATTCCAAACATAGCGTATATTTTAAATTTTATTAAAAAATGTAGATGTGACATATTTAAAAACGGTTTGGTATTTCAACTAAATTTACTGGAAAATTCATCAAATACTTTCTTCTCTTGGGTATACAACAAAACTGTACGTTCATTAAACTTGGAATTAGCGTGCAAATCTTAAAATGCCAAAAAATGATTTGACGCCCTCTAGTGGATCCTTTAGGAATTTCGAAAAATTATCGTTTTTGAAAGGGCGATTTCTCAAAAACCTCCAATGAAGGCAGCACTACGACACATTCGAAGAAAAGCAGATACCTCATAGATTTGATTCCATTATGTCAGAACAGTAGCAGCACGTTTTGACTTGGCCATATATAATACCAAACATAGCGTGTATTCAAAAAGTTATAAACAATGCAGACGTAACATATTCAAAAAACGTTTGGTATTTCAACTAAATTTACTAGATAAATTATTAAACATCTTCTTTCTTTGGACATACATATATACTGTACGTTCATTAAACTTGGAATAAGTTGCGGAAAGTATAAAATACCAAAAAGCATTTTACGTCCTTTTGTGGATTTTTTCAAAATTTCAAAAAATTATCGTATTGAAATAGCGATTTCTCGAAAACCGCCAATAAAGGCAGCATACGACACATTTGGAGAAAAGCAGATACCTTATAGATTCGATTTTAATATGTCAGAACAGTAGCAGCACGTTTTGACTTGGCCATATATAATTCCAAACATAGCGTATATTTTTAATTTTATAACATGTAGATGTAACATATTTAAAAACGGTTTGGTATTTCAACTAAATTTACTGGAAATTCATCAAACACTTTTCTCTCTTGGTATACAACAAAACTGTACGTTCATTAAACTTGGAATTAGTGTAAATCTAAAATGCCAAAAAATGATTTGACGCCTCTTGTGGATTTTTCGGAATTTCGAAAAATTATCGTTTTTGAAAGGCGATTTCTCAAAAACCGCCAATAAAGGCAGCACTACGACACATTCGGAGTAAAGCAGATACCTTATAGATTTGATTTCATTATGTCAGAACAGTAGCAGCACGTTTTGACTTGGCCATATATAATACCAAACATAGCGTGTATTCAAACTTTTATAAACAATGCAGACGTAACATATTTAAAAACGGTTTGGTATTTCAACTAAATTTCTAGATAATTTATCAAACATCTTTTTCTCTTGGACATACATATATACTGTACGTTCATTAAACTTGGAATAAGTTGCGGAAAGTATAAATACAAAACATTTTCGCCTCTTGTGATTATTTTCAAATTTCGAAAAATTATCGTTTTTGAAATAGCGATTTCTCAAAACCGCCAATAAAGGCAGCACTACGACACATTCGGAGAAAGCAGATACCTTATAGATTCGATTTTATTATGTCAGAACAGTAGCAGCACGTTTTGACTTGGCCATATATAATACCAAACATAGCGTATATTTTCAATTTTATCAACTATGTAGATGTAACATATTTAAAAACGGTTAGGTATTTCAACTTAATTTACTGGATAATTCATCAAACACTTTTCTCTCTTGGTCATACATCAAAACTGTATGTTCATTAAACTTGGAATAAGGCGAAATCCTAAAATACAAAAAATGATTTGACGCCCTCTTGTGGATTTTTTCGAATTTAAAAAATTATCGTTTTTGAAAGGCGATTTCTCAAAAACCGCCAATAAAGGCAGCACTACGACACATTCGGAGTAAAGCAGATACCTTATAGATTTGATTTCATTATGTCAGAACAGTAGCAGCACGTTTTGACTTGGCCATATATAATACCAAACATAGCGTGTATTCAAACTTTTATAAACAATGCAGACG